CACTGTATTATTGCAAGCATTAGCGGTAGATAAAAGGAAACTATGTGCCTTATCGCTCGGAATGACTTCAGCTGTTCCCGGTATGGATCGAATTCGCCTCATTTTTTTTTCTGCACTCAAAGCTCTTCCGGAGAAATTCCGCTGGAGAGGCAGGAACTCCGTCCGTTCCATACCCCGTGATCCCGTGTTATAATCGGAAGCATTCCGTCACTGGTTGTTGAAGGAAAGTTCCTCTTGCTCCCGATCGTATCAACACCATTGCCCTGTTTCTTCAGCTTATAAATTAGCGATAACTCGCTCAGCCGTTGACTTATATTCGTAAATAACAGGATTGCTGGATTTCTCCAGAAAAAGTGATATGCGCAATAGATTAAATCAAATTCTGCTCTATACTGTTCGATTCCGTCCAATTAACGCGGACGATCTCACGAAATTGTTTTCGAATGGTAACTTATAGACTCATACTTCATGCTATAAAAACGTAATCAACGCTCGTCAGTTATCATAAACATTAATTTGTTATTACCTGAGTTTTGTCAACCAATGATCGGTTTAAAAATCTCGACTCATTCGAAAAATAACTTATAAAAATACCGAGTTGCTTTTCCCATTGATCAGCGCGTAGGATCTCTGAATTATCAAAACACGGAACGAATTTCCGAACACGGGGCGAATTTCAGATATAATGTATAGTAAGGGATATTTAAGAATTACAAAAATGTCGGCCGTACCAGTTCCGATCTTATATGAATACTGTACTTGCATTATTTCCAACCTTGAATACAACTTTTCCATTTTTAATCATCCGTAGTATCAGTATATAGCGAAGTTCATTCCTGCGAAAAATGGGTGATCTCCACTATAAGATCATGTTTTCGGATCTTTTGATCGAATTATGATGCTCAATATTAAAAATCACTTCATACTTAGGCAGAATATTCTCTTCGTGTCGCATCGGCGAAGACATCACGAACATACTTCATTTAATTCTGACAACTGACTCACACAGTTTCAGTCAAGACTATCGTTGAAATGAACTGACGAAGATGATCAAAATTTATCTTGAGGCTTCTCAGAAAAGTATAAATTTGAAAAACACTGTATGCAGCACCGTTTTAAAAATTTGAATATCTAACTCTGGGGCGTCGACTGGACTTATGATCGTAAGCATGCAGGAAATTGTACCAGGTACAGCACTGAAAACCAAATACAAAGACATATAGGGAGCTGGCAAGGCTGGTAACGAGTACTTATCAGAATGGGATACACCATAATAAGTGTACTTCTGTACAGATCACATTAGTCGTGGAACATTAGTCGTGGCTTTCTGTGCATGAGAAAGGTAAATACACGTCCGAATTCCCGCATGGTACATCCTCATTATTCGGGAGATTTAATTCCTGAGTGAGAAGATTGAATTTGTCCACGAATGAAATCGAGGATCTCGTTTCAACGGTTCAATCAATAAAAAAACGATGCAGTACGAAGTTTCATTTTATCACAGCGAACGGCTTTCAGCTGGAAAGTACAACGCACTTTTCCATTACATGTTCATAAAAATCAGGCTTCATCTTTATTCGATTTAGAGTTATCATATACAATTTCTAGAGGTAATTGTCCTCTAGAAATAAACTCCCTTGATTCAGATGAAAATGATTCAGGTAATTCCGATATATATTAAGATACGTAAGCCAAAGTGGTGTGCAAATTTTATGACCGAAAAAAGGCTGTGAATGAGCATTCGATTATAGGACGTTTTGTTAGAATATTTTTGAGTAAATTCAAAAATCGAAGCATCGTGAAACAGTTTAGCAGAAGACCGGCTTTTCTATTGCAAATCCCGAAACATACGCATTGTGTTGCAATTTGCATACTTGTAGAAGTGGGTCATTGAAATATTTGGGGCATGGACGCGTGAAGGAACGAGATATTTACTTTCTGGGCCATTCCGTGTTCATGTAAATGGGGAAGCTTCGGGGGGCTTTCGATGCTGTTTTCACTTTTGATGTGCTGGAGAGACAGCATTTCAGAACCTGAACTAAATCTTTCAATGTTGCCGCGAACCCATTCCTGGATTTGCATTGCAAATTCGCAGTCCTCCATACGACTGTGCCTAACAAATGAACTACTTGAAAGAGCAACGACTGTTGACAAATTGAACTCGGCAAAAACTACGCCGTCGGAATGGTTCTCCGCGAGTCACGCAACTCCGCAAGTTTTCCCTCGCACTCCGCAAACATTTTTGGCCGTCGAAAAGAAAAATCGGAATTTCGGAACGCAAAACTTCAGCCTCGTCGGCGTAACTCTCGCCGAAATCTCGAAGTTCCCCTTCCGAAGCAGAGCGAAAGAAATAAATCACATTCTTTCGGATCTCATAAAGGAGCCTATTCGTCTGCAAGGGGTGGGGGGAGGGAAAGTTTGTCACGTCGGGTCAGGACATGCTCATGGATTTGCGTCAGACGATCCACGTGAGGACAACTTGTGCGTAGTAAAGGGAAGACAATGCGATGCGCTGATCACCACCGGACAGGATCAGTTGCGCGTCATTGCCCGGCTGCTGCCTTCCGGGCTCGCTTCCTGTAGATGGAGCTGCAACAAAAGCCCGCTTTTGAAGCCCGCCTCCCTCGGACGGCGAAGTTTCGCGCGAGGCATTAATTCTTCTTTGATTCCGGGTTGCAGCTGTACGCGTCTCGATTCCCCCTTCAACTTCTGCGTCTTGGCTTCCGAGTAGGACTCGCACGCAGCGAAACTTCGTTGCGTCATGCTCGTATAAAGCTGGATTCCTCGGACGTGAATCAATCCGGGCGCGTCGGGTTCCACCTGGTGTTCTTGGGGTAGATGAAGACGATGCATCTTTCAGAGGGTATAACGCGACCCTGTTCCGCAAAGTTGATGTTTCAGTATACTGTAGTTGGATGCAAGGTAGACCCTTTGACCATGCCGCGAAAAATGCCTTCGACGATCTGCTGTAGTTCGGGAGATTTAATTCCCGAGTATATTGGAGTACGGGGACGAGACAGTGTTTAGATTTGCATCCAGAAAAATTGTTTGTGGGGCACATGTTTTGTTTCTTCCAGCTCTGTATAACTTGCCAAAGTTCAAGCCGAATATCCCGACAAAAACGCGGACTCGTAAATTTCTTCCAAGGGTGTCTATACTTGATTATGCAGTACCTACTTGTTGCATTTCCTTTCTCCCTGCTTGCCAAAAGGCAGGAAAAAGAAGTCAAAAGAAATCGTGAGAAAGCTAATTATATATAGGATTGAAAGATAACGCTAGCGTCAAAGCAGTGACATATTTTCTCATGGATCAATGCTTGCAAGTCAAACCTTTTCTGAATCCAAGCTACTCAAATTCAAGAATCGACTTCAACTTTTTCAACATATGACACGGTTCATTCTTTAGACAGTACGTAGTTCTCAAACTTCGGAACCGACTTCAACTTGACTTCATTCATGCATGTATTTCATCAACTGATACCAGATTTGTATTTTTCAGTTTAAAGAATTCAGATTAAAGCTTCGAAGTACAAGTACTGTATAGTGTATATATTTTTTAAATTCGGAATTCTGGCAGTCAAAAAAAAACCATATATTCTTCCTGAATGTGCTTAAATTTATCCAGGAATTATCATTTTCAAATAGCCTCAACCCACATAGCTTGAGTTTGAGATGAAGTTATGACTACAAAAATTCGGAGAAATTCGTGCATCCATGTTTTAAAAAATTTTTGTGGACTTTCTTAATTTTCCTAGCTAAAATAAAATTTATTAGAACAGCTACAGATTCAAAGCTCTCTGTGCACAAGAGTTGGTTTTGCAACAGCAGTTCCGGCACAGAAATATGTCGTGAAAGTTGCTCCTCTTTCGGTAAACAAATTAAGTAATATAACTCTGGTCTATGGAGGTAAGTACTAAAAAAAGAGGGCTTTTTAAGTTTACAGTATTTTACTTTATCCCTTTCAGCATTTACTAAGCAGAACATGCGGAGCATGCATCACATTGCAAAATGAGCAAATATTTCCTGCGTAAATAGCCCTGTACCTTACGTAAGGTACTGTACTGTATAACCCCAACTTCAAAGCTTAATTTCCTCCACTAAAACTGCTTTAGATCGTTAAATTCAGTTCACTTTCATTCACTGGTACTGCGTGAACTATCCTACACTGTTTCATTTTCTTTTGTACATGTATGTCATCCAGTATCGCCTTCCTCATCGGCGTTTATTGTAGGCTCAATAGTTATGGACAAGCGAATGTACGCGTTCCCGTACCTTCCTTTATGTACGATTCCGCATGCCACTTGTATTTTGCTTACATAAACCACCAGGTCTCATTAATTTGAGCTGATGCGCATAGAGAATATTTTCTTTCAAGATGTTTCCGTGTGAAGAACATGGATTGACGAGAGACACATCGCGGCGATCCTCACGACTAAACAGTTTTACTATAGGCATTCGCTTTCAGATGTCGTTCTTCACATACATTTCTCACTCATCGCATGAATACTAGACCGTGTTTCTGGTTTGATTTCTAGGCAAAATTACCACATTCCTAAACGCCAGTGTCAAGTCACTTTTTGGAAAAATAAATAGGCCACACAATAAGTTTAGCATACACAGTAAATTAATTAAACAGGAATAAATAAAGTCTTCAAATTTTACCAGCAGCAGGTTCTCGAACTCAGGGTCAGGATGAGCTTATATTTCAGACAACAGGTATGGCTAACCAACTGAACCATCAACGATTTACAGTATTCCTACTTCGAGTGCAAAAAATTATTCGCCTTATCATTCAAAGCAGCGCAAATCCTTAACATTGTTCCGAATATATTCTCAGGGGCGGAATACAGTATAGAGTGTTTTCAAAATAAATTAAATATACCATCTTGATCCCATAAGCTGTGCGAGCTTTCGTGAGCGAAGATCTTGAATGAAAAGGAGGCCTTGCTATGGTTCAATGATTGATCTATTTTAAGGAGTTTGTTGGAAGAAAACAAAGCCTTTTGTGAATGAGCCACTCTATTTCCTTGCAGCATGAACATGTACAGTATTGACTGTATTGCGAAATATTCCATCATGGAAGAATTTTAGAGCACCAGATGGCTTTCGAGCACCAGGATAAAATTTTCTCACTTCGTTCTTTGTATGTAAGGGATGCGTAGGGATTAAAGTTTAAATCCAATTTTTTCCACAGCGTCCCTCAGTTTCGCAGTTCCAGCTTCGGGAATAGATTTCAAAGGGGCCCTTGGAGGGCCGCCATACAAACCTACAATATCCATTAGCGCTTTGAGGGCAGGTATCACTGACATAGACGTTACCTGCAAGAAATTTGTGCACGAACATATTTAATCATCCGAGTTTTCAGAAGGTTTTCTGAAATTAATTACAGCAGCACTCGGAATGTCTGCATTTGATTAAAGAAGTCAAATTTATTTAGAGATAAGAACAACTACGTGAATAATTCAATTTGAGCATCTTATCTCTCCGATGACAAACTTTCGAAGTACTTATCATAACCAAATTTCTGCTTTTTTCTAACCGATTAGTTAAATTCGATTTTTGTTATTTTTCATCATAGAAACATGTTTTTCCTTCAAACATTGGACCATCTGTGAAACGGTTTTTGATCATGGTATCTTGACAAGGCTCTTCGAAGGATTTTGGGAATTTTTATAATGCTGTACTACACTTAGTAAGGTTTTCATTGTAGGAATGAACTGCAGGCATTTTTGGGCTACTCGAATTTCAAATATTTGTAGAATATTTTTTTTTGAAAATCGGATCTCCATGTTCCCGTTTAGGTCACAAAATATTCTGTGGAAATGAAAAATCAGTACCTTGGTTTTCGTCACCTTTACTTTATTTTTAGCACAGGCAAATATAACCTCGATTTTACGGGCTAATTACTAATGCCTCCTGGATTTCTAAAATCGTGATCGGAAGTGCTGATGGCTTTTTCATTTTCTGATGAGCGTGCGTTAATACGATGTGAGTTACAGGACCAGTATCAAAAGCAACACTGACTAAAGAAACCGATTATCTGTACGGTACTAAATAGAAAATTTCAAAACACTGTAAACCGTATGTATATAATTGTGCTTCAGTTGAAGGCGCATGTTTTCCGGGGCACATACGTACATTCTCGAATTCTCGGTTAATCCAAGAACAGCTAATGAAGGTTCCATCGCAATTTATGACAAGGGTGACTCACCGCGGCCGCTACAGAGGTAATCTTGTGATGAATTTCGGCAGCTTCTTCAAATCTGTGGTCCTTGACAAGGGCTTGCATTTCCCCGTGTAGTTTCCCCAAGGAGCTGGACATGCCCACGATCCCACCAGAGCAACCCAGGAGCCAGCCAGGTACGAGCAGGGTGTCGCGTCCGACGAGAACGTCGAAATGTTTCCCCTTCGTCGCCTGAGCAATCAACCCCAGCTTGGAAACCTGGAGTGACAGATCATCGAAAACTGGACTGACAGACCGATATCGAAACAACACGGAAACCCTCTGCGACAAATCTTTGGCCAGCAATCGCTGATGGAGTAATTCGGGCGATGTTTATGAACGAGTATGACGCGTCGGAATCAATTTGTCAACGCTGCCGGACTTGACAACTGGTCCGCGATAAAGCCGAGATGTAGGCGTCGTCGAATACTGCCAGTTAAGCTTCCTTGAAGCACTGTTCCATTCATCAATCGTAGCTTGTATCCCAGGTGTAAATTAGAGCTGTTCACGCCCAAATGATCCAAGTTACTTATTCCTCCAGAGAAAAGCGTGTTTCATAATAACGTCTCTGATTTAGAGATAGCGAGACAAAAATTATTTCTCTTACACGCGAAACGGTGATAAGTTGATCAAATGGTCATAAAGTCGACACAGCACCGTTCTCCCGAGATGCTGAATACATAATCATCAAGATTAGATCATGAATACATAATCACGGTAGTGCTCCTAGATTTTTTTTGTGTGTGTTTGGACCGGTGAAAACAAAAGATGACTTTCGTTTAAAAGGGTAATAGATGGAGAAATATGCAACGCACAATCTGATAGCCAAAAGATAAAAACCATTAAATATTGGAAGGGAGATTTATACTCTATACTAGATCACGTATAGGTGAGCATTTTGGGAAAGTTGCGAATAGGAAGTTGAGGAATTTGAGTCAAATGAAGTTGGACAATGTTTAAGAAGACGGGAAAATCCTGACATGATCCCAACAACGCGAAGTGCTGTCTGGGAAAACAATAGGGAATGTTTTTGGACTTTAAAAAAAATATCAGATTACTTAATTCAAAATTGACCGAAAAAAGGAAGTCTTACAGTTTTAGTTGAGGAAGCCAATTTTTTCTTTTCGATTTCTCCCAATAAAAAAGATAAATAAATCGTTCTGATGATGGTTCTTTTGGTATAGGCCACGGGTATCATCTCAACGTTCACCAGGCGCAGATGGACTTGCATTAGTCCATATTATGCCAGGATTTTCCATTCGTTCTTCCTTGGACATAGAATTTGTAGCTGAATGTTCATAACTAATTAAAAATATTAATTGCACTAAGTCAATGGTTACGCCTCAATAGCCCTGTGACCGGATTAAAAAATTTGCGGACTTGCTCTAATTCCTAGACCACTCGGTGAACGCCGATTGAAATGCTATTTTGACCACGAATAACAAATATTTTTGGGAGGACATATTATATCGTAACAAATTGCATACTGCTATTCATCTCGCCGAATCATAAGGCTTTCGGATTTGAGAAAATATTCTAAGTGCTATGTGAAACTCACGTCAGCCGTACTATCCTTCATTCCGACGATGTTCGGATGATCAGCTAGCTTCACAGCCACGTTTACGCTGATTTCAAACAGCGTGCTCGGGGGATTGGCGTAGAGCAGAACGGGGATAGGGCTGGAATCCGCGACTGCAGTGAAGTGATCGAAAATCACGTCGTCCTGTTGCAGTACAAACAGAAAAGAAGACTATTACTTGAGCGCCTTCCGACTTCCAACAAGGAACTAAGGGTTCCCCGGCATTTTGGCTAGCTTCAAAGCCGATTGAATTTTTTTTCAATTATCACGGCTAACAGTTAAGGGCGTGGAACCAGAAAGCAAATATTGACTTCGCGAAATAGACTGTAGGAAGTGTTGCCTGGGCTATTTCCTTTTGCTCGATAACTTGATATATCGATGAAGTGCTGAAATGCAGGAGGAAGAAGGGGCGGAGATTTTCAGCATAGCATATTCTGTTAGCGATTTGAAGAAATTGTTCAGCAGCTTTTCCACCTTGGATCTAAAAAAAAAGTATTTGTTGTTGGACCCTAAGATTTCCCAAGTGCGCAGCAGACTTTCAGTTAAGTAGAAATACGTTAGCCTCGGCTAAAGTTGGGCTTGAATTTCAAGCAGGGCTGAAGAAAGATGCTTCATGTTTATATTCGGTGAGGGATTTCAAGCGTTTCTTCGGAAGCTTTTCAGTCATGAAGCTCCAAAGCAGAGTGCCACCCAACGAACAGTCAGTGGGCTGGCCCTAAGATTCTTCGGCGCACCGCAGACCCTTAGTCAGCAATGAATTCTCTTCATCGGCGCTAATTCGAGCTTGAGTCTCAAGCAGAACTGAAGAAATACGGTTACGCGTTTCTTTTTGGTGAGTGATTACAAGCATTTCTTTTTTAACTTCTTAGTCGTAAAACTCCAAAAAAGAGTTCCATCCAGTGGACGCTCAGTATATAGGCTGCAGGCTCCAAGATTTTCCTCGGCGCGTCGCAGACTCTTAGTCAGCAATGAGTTCTCTTTGGCGCTAATTCGGTCTTGGGTCTCAAGTAGGAGATGTAGGACTGAAGAAATAGATATAGTTTATTTTCGTTGGTGGATTTTCAACAGTTCTTGGACAGCGTTCCAGCATTGGAACTCGGAAAGAGTGGTACATCGATTAGGAGCAGTGGTTTTCACTCACGGACAGGGCGTCGCGCCAGTAATAGGGAACGAAGACGAGGGCCGCGTCGGCTCCGGCTTCTGCCGCCTTCCTGCAGCCGTCTGCGGCAAGCTTCGTGCCTGCGCCGGAAGGCAAACAAGTCAATCCCCCTTCTTCCCGACACAGCCGGCGAAATAGCTCCTGTCCCAGAGGCAACTCCGTTCCACCGCGGCGAAATGAACGTCACTTGATCTCTTTCTTTTATTTTCCATACCAAAGCTTTTTTGTTTTCAATACGAGCCTTTTTGATTTTCTCTACATGACTCCCCGAACTTGGATGACAGTCTAGTCTAGCAATTATTCCCAGTTAAAATCTCTGGATTTTACTCCTCGGAACCTCGTTTATTGTGCTGGAATTAACCGCGCTCCTAAAAAATCGAGGTAGTTTTTTACGATCCTTCGTTCACCAATAAATGAGAAAAGCTGCAAATTTGTAGGCTAGATTCGACTGTAGAAAAGGAAAAAGGTATGAAAAAGATGGCAGTTATATACTGGATAGTGAATGCTGGGCAAAATTGATTTTTGACGCAATGTTTTCTGACAATGATTTTTGCTTTCTGAGATCGACCCTGCTTGGACGATAGATTTAATCGCATTAAACCATATTGTCCATCGTGACAATAAAATTGCTGATATAGGAAATTTGAGTCGATGGACGTTTGTTGAGGCTCGTGGTCATGTGATGATTTTTTTCTTATTTCTGGGTGTTTTTGCTGATACTTCAAAACATTTTTCAGCTTGTTACAATATACCGTAATTATTGAAGAGTTCAAGGACATTTCAAAAATGAGAAATGGATGGCAATACCAAATTGAGTAAATTTTCAGAAAGTTGTTTTCATTTTACAGTACTTCACTCCAATGCTGGAGATAATTGCGGAAATGCTAACATATTCAATGAACTTGGCAAAATATCGTGGTTTAATTTACCTATCCATGCGTCTTCACCTGCCAATGAAAAATTAAAGTGTACATTTCGAAATACGAGTTTAGAATTCTGCTAATTATTGTACAGTATGATTTAGTGAATCCAAACGCGAATAGCTTTTCTTCATTCCTTTTCAAAGTGTACCACAAACTTCCTACTATTCCCTTTTGGAAATCAACGCAAATTAAAAAAGGTCAAGCGCATTTACAATCATTCAGAGTGCAGTATTTAATGGAAATAAATATTCACCGATTTTTTCATTGCCCCACATTTCTTCTGGATCCGTTCATGTACATTTTTCTTGTGAAAATGCGGATAGGCGAGTATCTTGAGTAAAAATCAAACCCAAAAGTTTCTGTTAATTTTGCTTGACCAGAAGAAGCGCGGTTTATTTGTGTGTGTGTGTGTGTGTGTGTGTGTCAATATGGTACGGTCGACTTCCACGGTCGATGTCCCAGTCATTTAATTTCACAGTGGATTTACTGCCAAAGCGCAGGATATGAATTTGCCAAGGAGGGACAGAAGAGCTTTTCGACAGACAGACTTAGTTGCACTTGAACCACCTTGCTCCGGCACACAGGCGATGACGAACTTGGACGTACGGGCTTTCACAAACTTGACGAGATCCATTTGCTCCTCTTGACTTGTGTGCGGGAATTCTCCGCCGCTGCCATTTACCACGACTCCTATATGGGCCGATAATTTTTTCAGAAAAGTGTCATAGAATTTTCATTTTGTGCGAAGTAGATGCTATTTTATTCGGGGGCATTATTCTGGGCGGCGATATTTTTCATTTGGAGATACTGTATATTCGTACTTGAGAAGGAATAGAAAGAGTTCCTGATGCAGTCATCAACAGCGATGCGCTCATCAAACAAGAGAAAATTAACAACCCCGCTTTTTTTAATAGAATAAACAGCGTACTATACATGAACTTTCCTTTAGGATTATAAAAGAATTTTTCAATTAAATTTAAAAAAATGAAGATCCGCGTACTCGTTCAAGAACCTTTCAACAATTCGAAAGGCTTATTAGATTATAAAGACTGTTTTGATGGCGAGACGTTAAATTTTTTGGATGCGTGGTCATTACAATGTCTGGATTTGTGCCTTCTTAAAATGCAGGAAAAGTAAATCGATATCCTAAGTTCATATTGCAAGCTATGAGAGAGGCTGTGAAACTTGTGCACATCAGAATCCCAACAAAAATATGACAGCAACTTCGAAAGACTTGTTGAGAAAAGGTAAGGCACGAGAAAAAGCCGTGCAAGGTATAAAAAAGGGATCCTATAGATTTATAGAAGGTATCGATGCCATAAAAATATTTAAAAAATAACTTCCGACAGTCTCGGGGATTGAACTTATAAGGTAAGCTTCAAGAAAACGCCGGGCGTTAGTTGATTAGCAAGAATATGACATTCATGACGAGGGTTTCACTAGAAGAATGGTAGCCAATATAAAAAAGTTAAGAAAATCGAGAATGAAAGTCCGCATAACAGTTTCCTAAAAAAGGGTTATGCCTCGTGGCATTCACAAAAAATATTTCCTGAAGAAATTCCTTATCTGATGGAACTTTTGTCTTGTTTCTCCCAACTAAAGCCCTAACTTGAACTACCTATTCCTCACAAAGCTGACACTTTTAGATCAAGATTCACAGTGATCATTACTAAAGCAAAAATACCCAAGATCAGAGCACTTTTTTTTTGGAAAAAGATTGCAACGTGTGTCACCAAGAAAACGTTCAATTATTCGGAATAGTTGGATGTATTTGAAGGTTGCCTGCAAATCAATAAAGTGAGCAACTCATGTGTCATGTAATTTTTAGAAGATCTGAATAGCACTTTCAATTAAGGTATATGTCTTCTCTCGCACAACATATGCAAGTAAACATTAGGAACATAGTCAGGACTCAGGAAATGATGGTACTGTATATCATTCAGTAATCATTATGTTGATAAAATTCTCATCATTTTCTGATTTAGTACGGTACATATATTCATCCACCGCGACCAACTACAGGATAAAAAGCGGAAAAAATTCCTAAGTTAATATGTATTCCTTGAAATCCATAGTTCTCCATATAAACTTCATCTGCTCCAACAAAAGCATCATGATCATCTTTTTGGAGTATAAAAGCTTTCTATCGAATATCCAAAAGTTATTATTCAACTCCGTGCAATTCAACATAATGATATACAATATTTTGACTTCTAGGAATTTATTTTCGTTTCGACGGGATTCATTCAAATCATCGCATTTATTTGACTTGATGGCATACATGCATTCTTTTCAAGTTAAAGAAGTCAGTTTAGGTTGCCTTTAGCAGAAAATGTGCCGTTACAAAGTGGGTAGTATGCATGTTCGAAGACTTACCGTCGATGTTCCATTCATTCCACGCCTTCAAATTCCTCTCCAAATGCTCATAATTGATAGAGCCGTCGTCATTGAACGGCGTTAGCAACGGGGTAATCACACCACGGAATCGCATTTCACACTTTTGCACTACCCTGGATCGGGAACCGAAAGAACGACAACAGACGCGGCAAAAGTCCACGGATGCTCGTGCTCCTGGTCTGCCGCGAACTTTTTTCTGAAGTGGTCGAGTTGCTGTGACACGCAGGTCGTGACGCAGCAGCAGGCGCTGAGCTTTTGCGCTGTCACGTGGATTGTGTGTGCAACAGCGTGCAACGTCTTATTGCGGCTCTTAGGTCGACGGCATTGAGAACCCATGGCAACATCCAGTTGAACATGATCATCTCGAAAATAACGGCTAAAACGGCTGTCAAACGAGATCCGCGAAAGCGACTGCTTAATCAAGTATTCCTTCTCGAAAGAAGCAAGACTTTCGGCATTTATTCTCAATATTTTTACTTTGGTTCACAAAAAAAAAAACAACTTGCTGAGCTTAATGATGCAGCTGAAAAAAAAGCTACGTACGCATTATACAAGGAAAAAGTGGTCTTTCGCAGCAGAACAGCTTCTTATAGTGTACCAGAGCTGTTGAGTCATAAAGACGGAATAAAAAAAATTTTAAACGTAGGAAAATGTACAAGAAACTCAACACAAGGAAGATAACTCGATTTTACCTGTGAAAATTGTCAGATTTCATGGAGGATCGTGAAATGATGAAGACTAGCCCAATTTTTTGTTGTTGCGCGGTATGAAGCCAGGAAAGTAAGAATTCGTGCAGAATTATTTTAGAATAGCTGAAATATGGCTTTTGGAATATCTTTTTTTGTAGCATGAATATTTAATGTGAAAAAAATCTGACTTATCGAGTGGTTGAATGAGAACTATTCCCGAATTCTACGTCCCTGACAAGTCCTTCGACCGCTTCAAGTGAAAATATTTAAATAACTGCATTGCACAGTTGTGAGTTCTGCTAGGAATGGTTCAATAATTGAAATTGAGCATTGTTCAAGTAAGATGAATTCAACGAATGAATTCTCAAATTTAAAAACTTAACTGATGGGCAGAACGCTGAAACTTGCTTCGAGTTCATGCTGAGAATTCACAGAACAAAATTTATGGGTCTATTTTGTTGGAAATGCTTGGAATGAATTTTTTTCAAGGCATGCAAAAGTAAAACGTTCTAGTTCAGGATTTAGAACAGTGAAGTGCGCATCTCACAGCTTTTTTGCTGAAGAAAGCTCTGGCGTGTTGGTTCAATTTTCAACAAAACGATGTTTTGCAAGAAATAAAGCATGGGCAATCAGCCATTTGTAGCCAAGAACACATATTCCAGGGGACACCTTGAATATGTGTTCCAGGCTTTGTCATAAAGTTTAATCACTATTTCAATTCCAGACGATTCGAAATTCAAAGAATTCAACACAATGAAATGTACACACAAAAGATCACTTCAAATAAAACTAAACATGAAATTTGTGCACAAATGTGTGTACTGAAATATGAAGCTTCTCCAAGGGTTCTGATGATTATACTTGATTTCAAATCTAAGTTAGCCATACCATCTGGTCACACAATCTGATCAGAACATACTGTTGGGGAACAAGTGGGCACCTGTAAATATTAATTATAATAATTCCCCGCTGCATCCCAAAAACTGGTCCTTTGCATCAGCCAAGCGACCAGCACCAAAAAACGAGTCCCGAAGGAATTGTAGGACGATGCACAGCATTGTCTTTGATTCCAACAAAATCAGCCAATCAGAGGCCAATATTTTGCCCACAAGGAAAACCACTTTTCCTTCTTTCTTCTGTCNTTTGATTCCAACAAAATCAGCCAATCAGAGGCCAATATTTTGCCCACAATGAAAACCACTTTTCCTTCTTTCTTCTGTCTCCAAAAACATGTAACAATGAATTCCATTCCACTGCCAATTCTTGAAGTGTGAACTCGAGTAGAATTCTGTAGACTTTAATAATAACACAACAAACTTTACACACACGTTCCAGGTTTTAATAAACTCAACGTAATAAGAAACCCTGTAATAATTTGTGAGTTATGAAAACCCCGGAGAAAGAAGAGGCTCCCAGCCAGTCCCAGGCTGAATGTTGTGTTTTATTCATCATTCTCATATTTTCTTTGTGGAGACTTTTTAGTCTCTAACACATACCATATATGATTTCGTGGCCTCTAATTTGGCAGGAAGGAATAAAATCGAGGAATTTTCAGGAGGAAAACCATTACTGGTTTGTCCTCTCCTCATTCTCCCTCCACCACAGTTCTCAACCAGTTTCTAAAATGTACGCTTCGAGACCGTACACTCGAATCCATCGAAGCACGCAGATACAAGAACGCAAAATTCAATTTCCATATAATTGCAGATATAAGTGGACAAACAAGGTTAAGAGAAAATATAAAGTCAGAAATGCATGTATACTCTAAACTCGATTCCGCTCCATCAAGCTACTCCATCTGCTGGTATACGCTGAATTCAATAATACGAATTACCTTCGAATTATGCTCCCTTTCAAATCCGACATGCAACCCAGTCAATTCCCAAGAAAATATCGCACAAATTCCTGTTCCCCTCAAAATGTTGCAAGTGTTTATCTTTCAATTTTCTTCGTCAGATTTCCATCGCTAGATTTAAGTGGGATTTCATTTAAAACGGGAAAGAGGCCTAAGCAAAATTTGATGCAAGTGAGTTTATAAATACAGTACAGTATCATGTCCTTATCCAACCCTGGAATTATGATGTTCCATATAAAATGTAGCTTCGCAAAATACTGTTATCTTCAAATTTTACGAGCAATGTCTCCCTCAATTTCCTGTATTTTTCAAATTTTCAGCAGCAAAGATTTTCATCTGCAAGGGTCTATCAACTCTTTTGATATCCTATTTGGTGAACGAAACATGCTGGAAAATGTTGATGCGGGAGCACAATGGGACTGGAAAACAGAATCAAAAACTCGAAGCAAACACCGCGAAAAAGAATACTGTTGGATTCCTTAGCAAAGAGCGAAATATTGCAGAAGGGAAGACAAAATAAAATAACTTGTCCGATTCGTCAGAAATGCGCAGGAGAAGGTTCTACGTGACCCAGAATCGACGACACTTGAAGCAGTTTCCAGTTTTTCGAGAACATCACTATAGCGATGTAACAAACAAAACTTGATCCAAGTGACCCGAACTTTTTCGCCCTTAGCAGAATGTCACGACCTTGACCGCAAGAGGAACTTGGTTGTAAACCTCTAGCATGAGCATGGAAGAGATCCCGGGTTATCCTGTCGCACTTCGAGCAAGTCCATCAAGCACCAGCACTTCATCACTGTTGGATATGGAACAAGCATACGAAACTTTTGGCATTTCCATAATTTAAAAAGTTTCTTGAAGGCTTGAACAAAAGCATTTTCCCACCTTGTAACCCGAATAAAATACGTTCTTCAGAATTGACAGTGTAGGTCGCTTTTCTGGACGGTGCGTATAGGAGGAGGATACTTTACAGGGATGAAAACATTTTCTCAAGAACCTTCTCATGCAGAAACATGAGAAACGCTAGAGGTTTCAGAAATAGTCGCTCGAATGCTGAGAATAATAAAACGTACATTTGGCGTCTCAGCAACTTCTTTGAATGTATTCCTTATGCTGATATTTTGAGAACTTCACGCATGATCCAGCCGAAATCCATGCCTATAGTATCTTCCTGAAGTCCCTGTGATTTTCCATAAAATTAAAGACCGTATGCTCTGGAAATTTCCCACTGCATGCTTTAATTCAAATACTGTATAGATACAACCCGTGTGAAGTATTGTACATGTATGGTCTCATTTCAAATTTCAATTGACCATCTTCACATCTGTTGCTTAATTTTCTGCTCGAACTATAAAATGAGGGCAATGATGCAGGATAACGAAGTCCTGAAAAATACCAATGTTAATCAATGCGAGAAAATAATAATTATTTCTTTTTTTGGATTTTCCTGGCAAATCTTGGTTTTCGTCTCTGAAGTTACGACATTGTTTTAATATTTCCCTGGCTTCTAAGAATAACACAAAACATGCTTTTTTATCAGAATAAAAATACTGTATTCGTACCTGATGAGGCATTTGCGATTAGCCCATCGCTCTCGAAATTCCAGAAGCATGCGCTGCCATCTATTCATCTCTCCCTGGAACTGATGTTTCTAGATTCGAGTTCGGTGAATGCAGTAATTTTTATTCTTCCTCCCCCAACAGGCTTCACAAAAAGTAGCTGACTTTCACTAAGCTGAAGCACACTCCGGGTAGCGAAGTAAAGATTCATTTTTGGACGTAGACGAGCAAATTGTTCGAATGATGTCTTCAACTTCGATGAACGAGCATTAATAACTTTATAATGATTTAAGCAGCATTTGGTTGTGTACGAAACATTGGTGTTTGCGACTCAAAGTGACTAATTGCGCAAGACAGCAAGGCAGAATTGACTAACTTGAGATTGGTTTCGTTTTCCAATATAATAAATTACGGTTTACGGCACACGAAACTTGGCCTTTGCGGTTCACGAAACAAGGACCTGCGCCTTTGCGTCCACAATGAAACAATTTACACGAGATTCAGATATAGAACCGAATAACGGAGTGTCCGTTGCGGGGATACGGGATTATTTCACCCGGAGTTTTTAAATTGCGTTGACTCGGGCTAGTGACATAAATCAGATTAAAAGCCCCTGGCGGGGACACTTGATCGTTTTCAAAGTGGCTGAACGATCAGCCCTCATAATTGTTGAAAGAGGAAGCCGGAGCTAATAACATCATATTGAGGAGCTGGAAAAACGATCCGCAAAGGGCGCGGCGTCTGATGAGGTCATTAGGAAGCGGGATGGAGGCATTCCAGGCTTTGGCGGTACCCATCGTGTTGGCGACGGAAACCTCGGCAGATAATCGAGAGCCTTCGAGGGTGACGCATCAGTGTCGAAAAAAAAAAACCCCGAGGAACCCAAAGGCGATCCGGGCCACGCGCGCGGGCGCGGTTCCTGAGGGGCAGTGAGTGCACTTCCGTCGCGCTGCTTTTCTCACTTCTTGGCATTCGATTGAGTGATCCTTCAGGTGGTGGTCATGAAGTCGCGGCAGGTGACGTTTACCGCCCTCCTCGCGGCGGCGACGATCGCGTCGATGTTGTCCGCTCGATCCTCGACAGCGTCCCTCGTACCTGACAATCGTGAGTATAATCTTTCCCTGTTTCATCATTCATAAAATCCGAACGATGAAAAAAAATTCAAGTCATCAAAAATGGTAGAACAAAAATTCCCCCAATGTCTCGCTCCGAGGCTGGTGCAGCACGAGCTTTCAGGGTTCATCATGCACTTTTCTGGGGATCCGCTGCTTAAAGGAAGTTAGCGAAACTATGGCACTAGACTTGATACCAAGAAGTTGGATTTGCGAAGAGCACGTGCGTTGATTAGCCCAACAAAGATGGAAATTTTAAGGTTTTTCTTTTTTTAAAAGGCAATAATAAATTTGATTGGTTGACGGGGCTCGACCATGGAAATTGCTCGTAAAAATGGTTCGCACGACAGCAACAGCTTGGGAAACTATGCCTTGAAAAAAATACACCGAGTTTTCAGATCTGAAACGATTGGATATGATGATTTCATAACCTAGATACTTTCCTTAAAGATGACAGTTCACATTTCTCATGCACGTACGATGTTAACAATTTCTAGGGCAATTATTTAGAATATTCTAAAATTTGCGGCAGAAATCTCAACGTAGCATAGAATTGCGACTTTCAACTCCAGAAAAATACGGTACAGTACTCTCCTACTAGCCTCATTGCTGAAATGATTTAATCCATTAGCTTAATTCAGTCGAATGTTGCCTAAATATTATGGTTTAACATTTTCAGAAGAATTCACAGCTTTCGAAATTTGTATGAATCCTGAGAACGATTGTGTGAGGAATGCTAACTTCAACGTACTGTGTTTGATCTCCTCCTATACGTAGTTTAATAAGATTCAAAATTTTTCTGTGCTATTATTATTTCGTCATTCGTCGTATTATAGCAGAAATACAGAGAAGGGTTCAAACGCCTCCAAAATTCGAATTGATGCATTTCGACATTTTATTTGACAGAGGTAACAAAGATGCTGGAAACCGTGATAGAAGACGATGGTTTTTTCATTAGCATCGATCGATTGGAACCCTCGCGAAAATCGTTCCGTCGTCACAAGCCGAAGGAATTTCTTCGAATCGCGTTTCCCGGCTCCAATTCTAGCTTAATCATGAGCATGGACAGAAGATTGCGGAGAGGTGAGTATTTTTTCCTTTTGTTTTCAAATCGGAGAGTGATTCTTTAAGGGAACTACAAGTGACGTGTGACTTCCGCGAGCCATAAATTTGTCTCACTTTTTCATAGTTTTCAATTTGACATTAAAAAGTTTAGAATATTATACAGAATTATACTATCAAATGATAGGCTCGTCAGAATAGTTTCCTCATATATCGGCATGTTTTTTTCCTATTTTTCACGCATCTATTTTTTTCTTTCATGATTTATTTATTGAAGAAGTACACGTCAGTCAACAAAAGGCATTAACCGTTTCCTTCATATTTGACCTCAGAGTCTTTCAAGATTTCTTGCGAGATTCAAATGCAACACAATGCCTTAAAGAAACGACCCAAACCTTGATGACTCTAAAATATTGGATTAAATGTTTTTCGCTCTCTGTTGCAGCGATGAGAGTGTTGAAGGCGTAAATGATACTTGGTGATGCATTGATTGCTGACATTTTTATTGTCTTTCTTATTTTAAGATTTCAAAATTAAGTGGAATGAAAATATACAAGTAGAATGGAGGATACGGCTCAGACACTCTTTCCCAATAATCTTATACTCTTTTCTGCTCTATTTTCTAAACGAATATTGCGTGGAAAAACGAACTAAGGACAGATTTCGGACACCCATCGTATTGTGATTGTATTGTGACTGAGCATTCTAGAACTTGAAAAATGAGCAACATAGACCGCTGGCTCTGTATTTCTATGAATCCAAAGAGCTTCATGAAGTTTACGACTTCCCAGTTGCCCAGAGGTGGATAAAAGCTGAATAACAGCCTCGGGACGCGGTTTCGGTTTCCGAACTATGTACGAGGGATATTTCATAAGTTCCGAGATTCAGACTTCACGGAAGATTGCCTCGTTTTTTTCGCAGTTTCTTTTTTCCGCAGTTCTTTACTGAAAAAGAATGTTCGCCAACTTAGCTTAAGAAACATGTTGATTGAGGCAAACAGCAGGATAAGTGTGTGTACAATACTGAAATACACGAAAAGTGAGCTCAAAAATGCCCCGGCGTTGTAAACTGTAAACTCATAAAAATTGGCAAAAAAAAATCGTTCTGAACAGTCAAGCCCAAGGAGGTGACTGAAGGTTTACATAATTGAAATTATTTATTTATTCGAACTGCTCTTGAAACTTCTAGACGATCCCTCTAACCCATGAGATTCACTTTCCTGGAGGATTTTCTCCCACCGAGGCTTCAGGAGTGGGCTCATGAAGTCATGGGAACGACAGATTTTCGGATACATGCGCAGGACGAGCGCATCCACCCATAATTTCTGGTTTATGCCAGGAGCAAAGATTCGCGGATACCGCGGAAGTAATGAATGCTCATTCCCACAAAATCCACAAGTAATCCGTTAAAAGGTCCAAAAGCCGCGTGGGACGCAATACTGGGCAAAATACACACACACACGCACAAAAACCCGCCAGGGTTGAAGGATGCGGTGGAAACATGCCACGCCGCAAATCAGCGGCAGTCGCAAGCCGTGAATTCCGTGTTTGCTCCTCTGTCGGCCCACGCCTCAACCCTGGATGCACTGGCCAGGTCTTCCCCGAATTCAGTCAGCGTTTCTGGGTCTTTTCATGCATTCTTCTCAGTTAATAATGTGCGAAATCACGCCGGATGACCCTTTTCGTTCTGGGACCCACTGAGGCACAGGAAACGAAAGAGCCCAAGGGTCGCTTGTTCAAATTTACTCGTTCCCTCGTAAATTTTTCTTCGCACCTGGCATTACTCCAATACTCCGCTGCTCAAACCAAGTTTCAACGTTTTACAAATGCTGAATTATGAAGTTCGGCTCACCAGCCTTATTTTTAGGTAGCTATTTATATTACTCACTCAGACGAGAAATTATCTTTTAATAAATGCATCAGTTGATTCTCTTTTGGCACTCATATTCAAAATGAAATGAAACGGTATGATGCATTTTTATTTCGGAAAATTTTCGCTTTCTTACCCTAATCAAGTTGATTTTAACTCGACATGGATTTCACTGTTTTATCAAGCAGGTTTTACGTAGACCTCAGCTAACAAACTGCAGGATATTGCTGTGATTTAATTAAGCCTTAATTCTTCAATAAACATTAAACTCCAATTTTGCTGGAATTTTCGAGCTGTGGAACGTGGAACATCTGACGGTAACTCTTTTCAGACAATATTGTGTTAAAAAATGTGTTGGACGGACAAAAATTATCCATTCGTTAATCACTTTTTTGGATCAGTTGTCATGCTTAGCACCTCAAACATTTACTCGAGTATACAGTACGAAAAGGCTTTAAAAAATGCCCTAAAGTGTTTCTACCAGTAGAAAATTTATCAGGCTCATAATTGTCACTTCTTTCCGAAATACAGCAACTTCAATTAGCATGAGCAAATTTTGCTGAGTATTTTTCTGTTTGGATACAATTAGTCTCTTCATTGATGGGCAGGTCGATAAGTTTGGAAATTCCCCCAGTAATTTACCGGATACATTTGTTTTTCTCTTCGGATAGCCGTCCAAGATCAAGGTTCAGTCTGCCATTTTTACTCAATTGTAAAACGTCAGTGAAAACAAGCCGCACCTCATATTTGTCCCAAAAACCAAAAAAAAAGTTTTCCCCGCATGCGTGAAGCACACATGAATTTAATTTAATTTCTTCAGCATCTTATTCTGCTGCTTTTACATTTGCTTCTGTTACCAGCTAAATTTCGTCGAAAGCTGCCAAAACAAACCAGGATACTGTCTGCATCTAAGAATCTATAATGCATTGAAGTCCACAGCAGTATGTTTAATTTTTTTAATTCGTTGTTTGGAGGAAATACGGTATTGTCCCTAACCAAAGAATTTTGGTCGACACAAATTCTAGAGTCTTAATTTTCCGGGAAAAGTTCGTCTTGTATTGTATTTGGGTAAATGAAAATACTCTATGCTGCCTAAAATCGCGAATATGGGTAGTTTTGCGTTCGCATCAGCGCATGCAAACGTGACGCCGCGAGTTGTGGCCGAGAGTTCGTGACAAATCCCTCGCGACCCGATTTCCAGCCGCAGGAAAACAGCAATAAAGGAATGCACGAAAAGCTAGGATGAACTAGGGAATATGACAAGACAGAACAGACATTCAGCACGAACCGAAGCGGCGTGCTGAGAATGCTGAATGCTGAAATGATTGAGCACTAACCATCCGCTCTCAGAATCGATCACTTGCGAATCGGCTGCTCCAGAGCGTTTCCCGCGACGAAGAGAAAAAAAACAGCGAATAACTCCAGTAAATCTCACGACAAAACGAAAAGAAAAATATTCTAAACCGACAGCGAGCAGCCGTCGAAATCGGAACCGACATCTTCGAACGAATCGGTCACTTGCTGTCAAGAGCTATTCGACTCCGGTATATTTCGGGCGACTCATCAACGGGAAATTGATGGAAAACTGAGTTTTGCGTGGGCGAAAGCTTAGTTACGCCTGCGCAATCAGGCCTCGATTCGGCGATGATAAATCGTACGCCCTTGTGAACTACTGTAGCATATCTTCTTCCCTTTTCATCAAAATTTGGGCAAATGAATCCGAAGCTTCCTGGATGGTCTCGAAAAGTTATCGCAGGGTCCCTCCCAGACGGTCTCGTTAAATCTAATCGATGAACTCATTTACGCGTCTCAGCGCTGACGTGATCATTTGTCAAACACAGTTGTCGCCATTACGGAGGAGCCAGAGGGTCGACGTCGGCAGCATTTCACTGTGGAAAACGTTTCGGAGGATTCAGTGCATCATCCTATAATTATCCAGGTCACTCATGATCATCCCAATGCTCATCTTCATCTGTGGGTTGATTGCATCGATCAGGGAAGGATACAAACCCCACTTAGCATTCGTGAGATGTACCGTCGCATGGACGACCCGAAAGTTCTCGTGGTGAGTCACATTGTCTTTATCAAGATGAAATCCATTTAAAAATGAGACGATATTTCGACAGGCTTTTTAGTTATTAATACAGTCGTGTTTCATACAACGACCGCATGTCGTTCCAAAACGGATGCTTGTTGATCGACTCGTTCATTGTATAAGACGCGTTTTCCCAGTTTCATCCATGGGGAAAATGTTAGATTCATTCAAACTAATCAAAATTTCAAAAGACGACTAAAATGTATGAAGCATAGGTTTTCGTCAGGGGGTCCTCAGTTGATTAGCAAGATAATGCCCAGCCATATTCCTTTGATGAATTCCACACTGAGTTCCTCCCCAATAATTAAGATGTACAAAAAGAGAGAATATGGAATTTAAAAATACTATGTGACTGAAAGATATCTTTTCCGAAAAGCATCGGTAGGCTTGAAAAAGGTAAAAGCATTTTTTGTGAAATAATTTTGCTATTTGTGATGCAATTCATTTTATGAGTCCTTTTTTCATGGAAAAAGGCGTGTTTGATGCATGAAACATTTCTTTTATGCGGATTATTTGCACGCGGCAAAAATGTACACTGCATATAATTAATATAAACGTGAGGAACTTTAGAAAAGATGATCATCCCAAAGAATGTATACATCAGGAGAAGCGCAAATTTTAACCGGGGCATTATTTTATTAAAATCGGACGGTACATATTCGTACGTACACGTACAGTATATACCGAATACTTATATAATAAAACTGAGGCCATATTTCCTGCTTCGATAAATCTGTGATTTTCAAATGGTTCGGACCATTTCCAATAGGGTTGATTCGGACAATAGCAAATTTCATATTTATCGCCTTGACAGAGAAGTCCGGAAATTCTGGAAGCTTCCAAACTTCCCAAACGCATTTGGCAGCACTTTTTTTTCTTATGCTCACGAAATATTTTATTGCAGTCATTTCTATTACGTGATTGTATATTCATCATCAGTGAAATATTCTCGGAAACCATTCGCATCATAGAAAAATCCCTTGTTTCACAAGAGACAATCAATTCATAATCAGAAAAAAAACTTAATTCCAGCTGTGCTGAAATCTCAGAGGACCTTCCCATGTGGAATTTAAATTATGGATCTGCACTTTCCCAAAGCAGGAGTAAACCAACAAACAATTTTTTTTGAACAAGGAAAAAATTGTCACGGAGTGCTGGTCTCAATGTAATTTAAACTGTAATCGACCATTTTACGCCAGGAATTGAAAAAAGAAGGTCCAAAAACACATTTTAGTGGTATTTTTCACAAGAAGCATCATTCGTATTTTAGTTCGTGCATATGGGGAAGTATACTACTGATGCTTAATTTCGACGAGTCGAGGCATGGGATGGAAACTTCCCAAAATAAAAAACACAGTGCAGATCTTTTTTTCATGGTGAGGCAGGAGTTGAGTGCCAGCTCCTGGTTAACTAATCAATCGCTGGTTTTGAGCGCCAACACCACAGCCGTCGATTTCCGTGTCAACAACCCAGTGACACTGTCACGAAGAGACGAGGAATGCTTGAAAAAAAAGCTACACGTGGTTTTTTTCTTTCTTTTCGCCTAATACGGCGACGAAGGCGCTTCAGCCACTAACTCGAGGTCGTCGACCTCGAAAAATACCTCACAATTTTCAAAGATCAACGCACAAGTAATGAAGATCTTGTAAAAATACCGTATGTTGGGCATTCGGAAATCACTCACGTACAGTAATTACATTAGAGCAGGACGGTTATCCACTATTCAACCTGACCTTTTGTGCAAAGTATCAAGAAAATGAAACTTGATATCCCCTCAAATAGTCTATTTAACCAGAGAATCATCTACAAGTGTAGTTGGGAAATTGAAGAACATGATGAAAACGCTTTCAAGTGTACTGATTTACCATTTGTCATCCTCGCGGAATAAACGCCTTCTGCAAACAAATTTTTCACAAGTAGTTGTGTATAATTTTTTATTTCTATTTCAACCACTTTCTGTCTGCGATGCTGACAGAATGCAGACAGACGTGGGTAAATTTTATGTGTGAAGTATCTCAGAAAAATATATTATACTTTTACAGTATTTTTTCCGTAATGAGGTTACAAAAGTCCTAGAATGTGTGCATCGAAATAAAACTGATTCGTAACATTAATATAATGCCCCCAAAATTACCTCTCTGATGTCTGGATCAGAATGATTCCTGATTTTTCAAAGTTCTCAGCATGTTCAATTTTATGCAATTCGTTACCTCGTGAATGAATTGTTTGAGGGCTTTAGAATGCAATAATTAGCTTTACAAAATATCGCAGTAGTGACTGATTCGTCAAAGTTGCCCATTGTGAAAGATGAATAAACCTAACAATAAATACTGGAATGAGAAGACACGCTTTTCGTCCAGCATCCAGCTATACGAAAATTGGTTCCTTTCGAGAGCAAGCAAACTTGGATGTAGTATATGTGCAACTGCGTGTTACCAGCAGCAGGTTTTTGAATGCCTTATTTTCAGCATCAATAGCAATATTAGAACCCGTCAACCTGAAGGTTCGAAATGCGAGCGTCGCCCTGAAACATCCACGAACGACGGATTGCTGATTGCTTCCTCCAAAATAGTTCGGCACTTTGAACCATCAAAATGAGGTCTATATATCCACACGGCTCCTATGCCACATTTTTATTTTATTTCGAAGGATGAAATTTAACCCAAGAGGAAAGAAAATTTCCCCGACTCCCTGCCAGGAAATTCCGTCCGGCTGTCGAGTCCAGTGAGATCAGATTACGGTCACGCATGGCGTTCCAGCTCGACGATGTTTCTATATTCGTTCGAAAGTTCGTGCTTGAAATTCAATGCTCTCTTTATTGCGCTGGAAAAAAATCAGTGCTGGGCAACCCAAACTGTACCTGCAATTATCTGGTTCACGAGCACCGCTGTCATGTTGGCGACGGCCTCCCGATGAGCCCCGAACTCGCAGTATAAAGGATGAGGAGTAACTCATTTTAACGGACGAAAAGTCAATAGGTTATGCAAAAGGCAAACAGGAACAAAGGTCTCAGGAAAATATGCTGTCAAGTCAATGGGGGGCTGGATGTCCAATTACCGCCTAAGAAAGACGGACTCCTGCTGATTTTTCCATGTCATTGATGCCACTCGGGGTTCGATGGCTTTTGCTGACATTTTTCGAATTTTAGCCGTGCATGAACGTCTTTCTCGTGTAGAATACACTCTATGTTGAAGGGCATGACTGTCGTAAGTGATGAGATAATCAGGAAAACATTGGTGTATTCAGTAAAGATCTGGTGAAGTCCGAAAAAAAGTCTTGCACTTTATCCCGATATAACTGAAGATTTGTTGCACATATCTGTCGGGTTTTAATTGAATATCCGTTTGAGTTACTTACATTTTGATTATGAAATGGGATCACCGAATTGATAACTGCAGCGAAACGTGGGTGAATTTTTGAATAGTAAATGTACTCCGCGTTTTTTTTTTATTACTGTAAAATTTTATCCGAATGTAGACGGCACCGTTTCGCAGAAAAGAAAGGTTGAAATTTTCGGGTGCGGACCAGAAGACAGACTTGCAAGTCGTAGTTTTCCCCTAAAACTTGTATGAAAAAGTTGCATTCCACTCATTTTCGATATTTTTGGCTTGACCGCAATGAGCAAAAGATTGTGCCTATACTTGACATACAGTGAGTGGAAAGGAATCTTCAAGAAAAATTAGTGGCAAATAAAATCCGTCGTAGAAAAGAACCGCGGAGTTCATTTCCTTGTTTATTTCTAAAATCATTCAGTATTTCACGATTTGTTGGAAAAACCTATGGATTCCACAGCACTCTTAAAATCCCTTATGAAGATCAGAATACAGTATTACATTCAAATTCTTGTTACAAATTTACCTCCTAGGTCCAAATATTCCTCAACAAATTCAGCTGTTTTCCTCGAATGGATTCAAAAAATCATCGCGTGAATATTGTATAAGTTGCTGTTATTTGTTAGCATTGAAACGAGGATTTTCTGGAATCACGTTAGATCTATCTCTCAACCGACCAATGATCGAATCTCACGAGCATACCAAAAAGATTTGTGAGCTCGTGGAAGCGTTTGAATGAGAGTGGACAAACAATATTGCGCTTGTTCGGAAAGAACTTCGTGGGGATAACAAGTTGTAAATACCACGAGCGACATGCTCTTTTCTCGCGGATTCATTGTCCATTCGTTCGATCTTGGTTGCGATAGGAACAAGGAGAGGATATATTTCTCGAGCCTGTCGTGATTAGAATCCCGAATCGGGGTGACTTCGCTAGTTTCTTTCGTGAAAGAAAAATTAACGCGCCCGGGCATGTTGCACTTGAAGGCGCAATCAGATCAAGACAGACTTGCAACAACATCAACTTCAGCAAAGAAAAGTTGAAACCGCGTGATAAATGCCTTCGGACTTTGCTTTGTTTGACTTGGTTTTTATCGCAAAATAAATGGTTGGGCACATGAATAGCGGTAGCCTATGTAATTTTTGTCTTATTAGAATAATGAAACGGAATTGATGCTTCATTACTTCGTCTCGCTTAAGTTTAATTGGAGTTTACGAAGCTTGGTTCATCGACCAAACGAGTCAAGGCTTAATGGTTCAGAAAAAAAAAATCCATGTCTGTTATTATTTCTCACTTTGAAAAAAAAATCGTATTAATTCCTGTATTACGGCATTTATTCCTGGAATTCCAGCATTCAGAACGCGTAATGCTCAATATAAGAAAACTTTTCGATTCCGCTCAAGCTTCATCACTTTAAAATACAGTACAGGCACATTACATTTCTTTTGAGTTGTACTCCTATTTTTGAAATCCGACTTCATGCATTTTCTGAAGAAATGACGGTTCGATTCGGTTTTTTTTTAAACTTTCGCATCCAGCGATGAAAATACTAGCTTAAATTAGAATCAGATAAACAAGCTATACTGAGTTTTAATGACAAAAGCTATACCTTATCTAAAAACAAAAAAGTATATCCCCACGATTTATATCTTACCAGCTTCAAATACTTCCATTAATTAACTTTGAACAGGGGAACCTCGATTATCCGCCTCATTGCCAAATACTGTAATACATTCGTTTATGTGAGTGAATATCACGGATAATTTGGCATTTTGAAAAATATTTAATAACGAATTGACGTAATTAAAGCAGCGTCAACTTATCACAGGAGTCATAAAATGAAAAACTGTCAAAATAAAATAAATACATTATTTGGCTCAAGAAAAATCTTGTAAGTGACGAACACTGAAAGATGCTTGGTTCGTGATACGTTAAATATTTTAGTATATAGGTACGGCTAATCAAAGCATGAGAAAATCGTGGTTTTCTCCTGATTGATAAGACTGAAGCTATAATGGAGTGGATTAACAGTTTCTTAGGTATTGTATTACTGTACTTATGGATCGTAAAGGAGACGCTTGCTTTTTTTTTTATTCAATGTTTGCCATCAAGTATCGGAGGGTGAAATCGAAAGTGAAAATCCTGGAAGGGACCGACAGCAGAGCTGTTCTGAAGCAGCACAATTGCCGAGTGCCGGAACCATTGCCCATGGACACGACGGGAGAAGGGTATCAAGCCATCCAAGCGGATTCCAACGAGATTTTCAATTTCCGACGAGGTGAACGAATTGCAATCCTTCATTTATCCCGAGCTCACATCCAATTCATCGCTTCCGGGGTCACTGAGATCACGCTATCAAGGAGTACTGATCCTACACATTAGTCACAAAATGGCATTGTATACTCTCACGGACACCTTGGGACCAACTGGTTACACCTCGTACCTTTAACGAATGTAACTCACTTAACTTTTTTTTTCGTCACGCTTTTGCACGTGCTAGGATATCGGTGGTTTTTGCTCCCATGGAATATGCCCCTCAATTTTTTTTTTTCAGGACACATAACGATGTCAAACAAATTTTGTGAATGTTTCCACTTTCGTGATCGGACGGTCGAGTGCTTCCCGAATTAGTGCACGCATGGCAAAACGAGGCTCAGAAAAAAAACATCAGTATAAAATGGCACTGAAGCAACAAAATGTTTCCTATTGAGTAATTATGCAATCTTGTCAGGCTCGGCTTATATTATTCACTCGCGTAACACGTTTCATGTACAAGAAGCGCACCCGAATTTGTAAAAGGAAAATACTATCATGATGAAAAAAAAATTGAGATCATTGCTCCTAGAATTTTTGCGAGGAAAAAAATCCACATGAGAAAAGATTCGGACGCGTGCTGATCGGCTCTTTCATCTGATTTTCAAAATTAAAATTTTCAAGAAATATGAATAAAGAGTGAATGAATTGGAAATCAAATGAAAGCTCAGTCGTTCAATTTTTAATTTGAAGTTTTCAGAATTCCTAATTTCGTGGTGTGGAAATCACTTGAAAGAAATATGCACTTGAGTATCATGCGCAATCTCATTGTGCATCCGGCTTTTGTGAGGAAAATATGTTCACAGTACATCAAGGCATAAAAAGAGTTTTTCAAACAAAAACGCTAACGAATAAAATCAATTTATTATTCAAAATTAATATCAATCGCAGTGCATAGGAATATATTTCAGCTAGTAACTCTCATAATTTCTGGCGCTGTTATGTAATTTTTTTGCTCTTCGTCGTTTTATTTGTAGACAAACGCTGTTAAGGATGCGCTCCGTTACGATTCGGCGATTTGGGACGTATCTGACTATTCCAGGACTGTTCGTTTCAACGAATAAGATACATTCGCAATTCTTTCCATCATTCCAAGATTTGATACCGAAATGTGGTGGAAAAATTTCACCAAATCGCTCAAATAGAATATCCTGGGACGATAAATAGAAAATACCGATTGAGAATTGCATGTCCGTCAAAATTAGGGATAGAACTTGAACGCAGACATTTTACTTTGAAACACAAGTAGATTTGCCGTTGTCAGGCAAAAGCAGCTTCTAATAATGGAATTATGGCCCGCATTCGTAGAAAATAGTTTACATTAATTTCGTCTACGCAATCTATCCAACTTAACGATCCGGAGCCCAATTGCATCTGACGCAAGTATTGTAAGTTAATCACGCTTGTTGGTGTACGTGTCCCCATTTAGAGAAAAGTGTGGTTAACGTGAAATGTTTCTTGATTCTTTGTTGATAGAGTTCAGCGGGTGTCGGGGTGTCACCTTTAATGGAGTAACATATGAGTGCCCCCACGCGCACGCTTTTGTCTTCAATAACAGACGGGGAGGTAAGGGGTATTGGTACGTTTAATTCAACACTGCGTTTCCGCTTCTGCACTCTGCACGCGAAGTTGATCTTTTTCCTTCCATGAATAGTCATCGCTCTGGGCGGTCCGGAACGGGTCCGACTTCCGACTGAGAAAAGAGCCCTTCTAAGAAATAATTCCGCACTCTTTACCTTTGCAAAATCGGGCTTTTTGTACTTTCGCACTCTCTGTTGGTGGCGGTGACTTGCCCTGGCTCTTGTTTGCCTTGCCTTGTGTAAATGTCGCGGAACTGGGTGTGTGACTGAGAATCCTTGCTTTTCAGGCGACATCCCCATCTTGTCGAACGACATCGATAGCAAAGGTAAGTTCGGCTAGTCTCTTTTTTGGATACTGCAGGACGACCGCGTTTCTTTTTCTTTTTTTTTCATTCCAAAGATCTTCAACTTTTGGCGCGCCTCGGGGAAGAATTGATACTCGCCATCAAAAATCTGATTCACGAAGTTCAAAAAGCGGTAAGAGAAAGAAATTTTTGCGCGCTTTATCCTATTGGACAATGTCGTTCTTCCCTCGATTACAAACCACAGGCCATAACTTTTCCCAAAATATGGGCACAAAAACTAAGCTGAGGCCCATCTTGAGATGTTCGAGCTTGTGATGTTGCTTTGCAGTCTCATAAAGACGTGGCCTGAACACACTCAAAACGAACTTGAGTTTGTATAAAAAGCAGTCTACATACTGTATTCATATTCTTAAATAACTCATTCCTTCGCATTGAATATTTTAATAGCACGTCAAAAATCTGAATTACTAGTTGAAAGTTGAGTCGATGCTTACAAACCATTAAAGGAGCCGATCAAACGTGTCTTCTGTAAAAATCATGTTCTTGTGAAAAAAAAATCCTCCAAAGTGGTAGGGCTCAATGCAGATGCTGTATTAACATAACTGGTGGGGATGTAGATTCCAGGCGAAATCGGCACCATTTTCCATATTTGCCTGAATATAGGATGCAAGTTTTCGCTAGAATCCATTTGGAAAACGTCGTGGTGTATACTTTATTTCATGGTGTCATACATTTGATGATTTTTTCCGCCTAAATTTTTCGAAAATTGCGTCTGAACTTAATGATACGAATCTCCGCCAAAATGTAAGCTCAAAGGCACAGGCTTAAGAATCCTGATCTACATTTCGAAGTGTTATCTACACGCTTCGAAGTGTTATCCTGATCTACATTTCGAAGTGTGAAGGAGATTGAGATGAGAACAGAAATGCAATTAATATTAACAGATTCCTCTGATTTCAAAGAAATTTGTTATAACGAAAGAGCATCTTGAATTTTCAGATATTCTTATTTAAATATTCGTGAATCCTCATGATGTTTATCTGAGTAAATATGTTTGAGAAAATAAGTCTCATGTTTGAGTAAATACCTTATTGAAGCATTGCGCGTCTTGAAGCAAACATGCGATTCTTCTTCCCGGGTTCACAGCGTGTCGACATGGAAGGAGTTCGGGAAGCGGTGGAGAACTGCGAAGCGTGCAAACGTGAGTGAACGAGGGATTGGCTCGATTCCGGAAAATCTAATTCCGTAAATTTGCAGCCTCTCAAGGGTGTGGTGCGGTGTCGAATCCGTGTTATCCCGGGGTTCGATGCTTCGACACGCCAAATGGGTTCCGATGCGGGCCTTGCCCTCGCGGGTACTCGGGCGACGGTCGAACGTGCCAACGCATCGTCACCTGCGACGACAGACCGTGCTTCCCGAGTGAGTACCCGTTTTCCCCCTTCTTTCTGCTGATAATCACGATATACGCTTCCGACGTCTTTGCCGAGCATCGGTCAGATCTAGAACTCATCCTTTCGAGTAGGGAAAAAATAATGGAAAGTGGAAAGAAATCCTGGCGGAGCGATGATTGAGGCGGCTTCCGATTTGCTTTCCTGCTGCAATGCCATCAGGAAATTCGCTGGAATGCCGTTCCGCGCCTCAGCTGTGATAACGGCTGATCCTTTGCTCTTTGAACGTTAACAAACTCTATTTAAAGAAGCGCCTGTGTAATCCGGGTGCCTTGAAATAAGAGAGACAACATTATCTTTCAAACTTCTTCTGATGGCGTGAGATTTTACGGTACTCCGACGAAACATCGCAAGCACGTTCTTTCTGCACTTTTTCCTCACGTTTCACGGTTTTCTAGCCCAGGCGACAAATATATATTTATTCGCATCATATATACACAATCGCAGCTGAAAAGTTCATTTAATAATTGCAAGACTCTTATTGATTCATCCAGCTTAATTGCATCCTTCCTTTTGAAAAGAATAACGTTTTTTGGGATCGAAATTGTCGGAAATCCAATCAAAATCATCCTCATCTTAACACTGTACTTGATTGTAAGCGTCGAAGAGTTGAAGCCTACATTCTTTTTTCAGGTGTTTTAGATATTCTACTTGTTTCTGAAGCACGCGTAAAAACAACGGACTCCTCTGGCTCTGGAGAAATTAAATGTGCCAATTGTGCGTCTCAGGCAGCTGTGATGAATCCTGCTTTTTTGCTTTTAGTCGGAAGGGGCTATGTTGAGAAGTGCCTGTGCAACAGCTATGCCGTGAAATAAGACAGTACCAAAACTAACACATTTTCTAGGACAAATTGAGATTTGTCGGTACTCCGGCGAAGCATCACAAGTATGTTCTCGCGCTACTTTCTTCAACTTTCGTGATTTCTCTAGCCTGGCGACAGCCGACAGAAAGATATTTATTTGCATAACTTATCCTCGGATGCAGCTGCGAAAGAAATTTTTATTTTCCGAAGTACAGATCAACAGAAGCGGTTATTTGTCAAAAGTACGCGGAAGATTTAAAAAAAATTTGGACCTAGGGTGACACATACTTGCGAAGACAACCGCACGTGTTCGCAGCTCGTGAGGACTTTCGGGCTGAAGGATTAAAAGAGTATTTTGAAGACCTCGTTCTGTGAAATATTGGTTTCTTCTTCGGAGACACTGAGTAGCTGAATTTATGGCCAACTCCATCACCAAGGCCCAAGAAAAATAGCGAAGACGTGCTCGAAAATTTTCAAAGTTATCTATATTATTTCATCAGTAACAAAACGACAGGCTAACAATCAGTGAAAAGCATAATTTATCTAAAATCCCCATCAAACCATTGAATGCAATCTTCAACTTTAGCAAAAAAAATGATTCCCTTCAATTAGTGAATATGAACGACTAACGTACAAAATTATACAGTAGAGCCTATTTGAAATAAATTTTGAAACAAATCATTTTTGGAGCTCTCAAATAAAACAACGCCACGCAATGTTCAGTTGACGAAGTGCGGGATGTTACCTTGATGTTGCTTTTAGTACGTCTAGAGATTATTTTTCTGATGGTGGTTGGTCGCCAATTAGAATTATCATCATCATACTGTATTTGCGTATATAAGTATAATTTTGTGCTAATTCCTGAATTTAACGATTCCTGGGAATGTAATGCCTTTTAAAACAACTCATCCCCAGTATCTTCGAGATTTAGAGGACATTTCCTAAAACCGTATTACGTCAGGGCATCATTGATAATCACTTGTTTTCATCGATTTTCCATAATTTTAAACATCCGGAAAAAGACATAATTACTCGAGATTCCGCGGTACGGTACTCCACTGTTCACTGTGTTCCCATTGCTGTCGATTATTGATTTATATCGCAAGCTCAATTGGCCCCAAACAATGAAATTATCCACAATGATCATGTATATCCTACTGGAGATAACGCCTTGATCTTAATGCTTCCCAGGTAAATTCCAAATCGTATCGTTTGTACATTTTATAATTTTATCTCATGCGAATATCATGCATGTTATTGAGGATATTCACCTAAAATCCTGAGCAATCCTGAAAATATTTTTTATCTTTCTTGCAAGAATTTCACTTTTATTGGCTGTCGAGTTCCCGCATACAAGTATGTTCATGCAGTTTTCCGATATTTCGCGCATCGATTTGGTTTTTTTTTCTCTTTTTCTTTCCGAGCAGACGTACCTTGCTACGAAAGTGGCGCCGGCGACGGGTACCGCTGCGGAGCGTGTCCCACGGGCTACACAGGCAACGGGAAGACGTGCAAGCCCAGCACCATCTGCGACACGTCACCCTGCTTCCCGGGCGTCGTGTGCACCAACGTGGACGCGACGCCGTTCTACCGCTGCGGCGCCTGTCCACGTGGCTACACCGGCAACGGCACCGTCTGTGTGGACATCGACGAGGTATCGTGACTAATTACATCTCCTAACACGCCCCCGGGTTTTCCACTCGTCACTGTCTACGCGTTGTTTTGACTACGTCGCGAGTCTCGGCATCCACGTCGCATCTGACAGGTGTTCGAAGTGACGTTCGAGTTTTAATTTGCTCCTGGCCCTCGATTTTCCTCAGCAGTCCTAAGATTAAAACAGCACAAACAACCTCTCCACAAAATACGGTATTCACGCGACTGTGGGGCCGAGTGCGAGTACCGTATTATAGGCATGACCTCGGCAGAGAAAATATCATGTACGCAGCAATCAAAGTTGAACTTGCGGAGGGAACAGTTGCCTTCGTGTGATGCGAGGAATTGGATTTAAATTTCTGAATTTTCAAAGGCAGATCTCGACCCTAAGAAACACTACCTTGTCAGGAGGTTACCAACTGAAGACTGCTTAGTTTTTCAAATGAATTGTTTCTTCAACGTTTATTTGTGCAGTACTTCAGCACAAATCTGAAATATTGCCTTATCATAGGCATAATTTTTTAAGTAAATGTAGAGTACTGTACATACGGCATACAAATACAAACTTTTCTAGTAAAGGATGCAACACCGGTTTCGAGCACCTTTTCGGGGGTGGGGGACGAGGTCTATCATCGAGTAATTGTGGTACGCAGGACATTATTCATGTCAATGGTCAAAGGAAAGATGAGTTGAATATACTTTCTATGTAAAGATTTAGTATTTAGTGAGAATTCTGCAATGAAAATACCTTGGAACTACGATAGATATCTGGTTTCAACGTGGAGTAAGTGATAAAAATTATACGTAACTACTGTACTGACAAGCAATTTTTGGGGATGTAATAAATGTAAGGTGTCGCAATAATCGATCCATCGATCTTTATCGTTCTGCTTTTTCCAGTGCGATCTGGGCAGACCGTGTGACCCTCGGGTCAGATGCACAAACACGATGCCCGGATACAGATGTGACCAGTGCCCCACGGGTTTCACAGGCAGTCCAGGAATCCAGGGCATTGGGCTGGAATTCGCAGAGACCCGGCGTCAAATCTGCTACGACATCAATGAATGCGAGACCAACAACGGCGGATGTGTAACCAACTCGCAGTGCATCAATTCGGAAGTAAGTGCGGGGTTTATCTGGGATCACGCAGGTGAGGTGAGCAGTTTCTTGTGTCGCCGAGACGTGACCGCCAACTGAGCGATGTTGGCGAGGACAACTGAGCGCCGAGTTGAACAGCGCGAGAAGTCCAACTCTGTATCACGCGCATCTGATGGGCATTGCTACCAACTTGACTTTCATATTATTTTAAACAAAAATGAGGGGATCGACTCTTTTTCTTCCCCCTTATCAAACTGTGTATGTTTCGTCATCTTCTATACAGTGTTCTGCAATCGACTGAAATTGTTTTCTGGTCTAGACTTTTTCATATCCCGCTTTTATAGTACAGTAAAATTTGAATACTGTATAAGGCTTCATGAGTTGTACGACGCACCTCAATTTCGGTGCCTAAAATGTTTGTTTTAATGCGTTCAAATTTACGACGCATCTTTTCACGATTAGAGGACTTGATTCAAATTATGCTTCTGTTATACCAGTTTAATCGGAACAAATCCTTCCGAAAGATGTCAGGATTCCATCTCGGGTGACATCGAACTGAAAATATAATTAAAAATTATTTTATTGGATTTTAGACCTTTTTATTTCGAAGATTGTGTCGATAAGAGAAGATTCTGTACTTCTCCCATAAATTCGAGAGAATCATATGTAAGACGCTGTCAAACAATAGACGCAACCTGGTTTGCCGATTAATTTTTGCGCCAAAAATTTGTCTTATCATAGAGTAAAAGCGGAAGGGATTGGCTCTTGCTCAAAATAAGGATCATAATTTTCAACATTTGCACGATATGCAAAATTGTAAATAGCAGAGAGGTGTACAACATTTCCAATGATGAGTTGAGAGCTGCTCATTCAAATGGTGGCGCTCAGTCCGGCGGCGTTCGGTTGGACTCGGCGCTCACTTGACCCAGCAACTCGCCGAAGAACGCTTTCGAATTGATGTTTGCTCGAGTATGAAGAAGAGCCAAGAAGGATGAGTGAGCAGTTGCCGCGACTTCGTCTTTTCGAAACGTAAAAGGCAACACCTGGGGGATATCCCAATTACATGCCTCACGACGTCTATTGTGAAAGAAAGCCGGCGCTTCACAGCTTTATGCATCGCTCAGTACAATTCATGCCGCATTTCCGGCGCGGAATTGAGTTCATGTTTACGCAAGAACTGCGGCGTTTGTCCTCGAGAAAGTGACGGCATGGGTGTTTTCTTTCGAAAAGGGATCCTTCTACTGCGGAGAGTGCATCGAGGGGTTCATTGGGAATCAAACTGTGGGCTGTGGAGAGAGCCCGGGTCGCTGCCCCGATGGCACCATGTGCGACGGAAATGCCGAATGCTTCTTGCCTCCGAGTCGTCGGACCTACATCTGCAAGGTACGTTTCAGCCGGATGCACAAACTCCGGGCTTTTCAGTCAGTGGTACTCATTAAAACTGCCGTGTGATGCATAATGGGCACCCCGGCAGGTACTCCTCCTTTTTTCGTTCCAATCCTTCAGCTATTTTTTAAGGAACAGTACACCAAATGTACTCCCCTGCATTGGCCGCATTTGCATTTTTCCAACAACAATCGCACGCGGCTTGTAATTGAGGCATACAAGGCCGAAGGGGCCTACTTTTAGTGCGCATTCTGAAGATATCCGAGTATCGGTCGCTCAACTACGGTATTGCAAAAAAAAAAAATACTGGGCATTATACCAACTGTATACATTCTAAAGAGATTAACATTTTCTTCAAAAAGTTCAAATTATTTCGGCCTATGCAGTTTTTCCTCTAAAGCAGACACCAATTTTAGGAGGCGATCTATTCGTGCTGCATATATGCAATTTCGTAATTATAAAAAAGGTGGAGAAAGCGTGGAATATAAGTGAAGGAAGCTAAACTGATTATTAGGTACAAAACACAGATCACACAATAAATACAGATTTTGGAGTTCATTACTGTAGTTTCATTCTGAAAAAGGAGCAATAAATACGATGGATATGCCCTGTATCAAAGTACATCTGGTGGTTTGATTAAAATGTCGATATATGAGTACAGTAGTTTTTTGGCAGGCATTGTCTATATTTTTCTGGCCTAAATTTAAGCTTTCCGATGAATCAATGACTGGTTCGGCGACTCCTGCTGGGAATTGGAAAAAAGGCTTTTATTTAGCCGAAGAAAATCATGAAAATGCCTAATGTTCGACTATAACGGTGAAGATGAGCTTTGTATGCTTGAAACCCAGTACTTAAAAAAAAACTGTCATGTCTTAAAAATTATAAATTCAGGAAAATAAATGTTGTGGAAATCTTCCGGATTGCATATCAATAAGACGGAAATCATCACCCGCGGTGACGGCATAGCCGGTGAATTTTCCAATGGTGCAGAAATAAAACTGGCTCAATCAAATTTATTAAATCAATCAAAATTGAATTACGGTTACCATTGCATTACACTATGCCACGTGAATATTGACCTTTCAGTAGATTTTCGACCCTTAAATCCGAATATACGTCAAATAACACGAGTTTACGGCAGCAGACTTCATTCCTTAGCAAAGCTTTTTCCAATGACCTGTAGTCCAAAAACTGTTTCCATCGAATTATTGAAGTCAGTCTCCTAACCTAGTATGTTCAGCTATTAAAATTATTATCTTGAATGCGACAATAACCCATTTTAAAGCGTTTTTCCCTGTAGTCGTTCGAGATTGATTCAAATAGCCATCATTATGCGGTATTTTCCACACGTTTGGATGCTTATTCTAGAAGTTAGGTTGAAAACTGACGAGCGTACGCAGGTTAACCTGAGTGATTCAAGAAAAGAGGGACAAAGATGAGTCCCGGCGGTTGTTCGAGCTGAATTGAGTGGGCAACGTAGAAAAGCAGCCTGATGACCGAACAGTCGATGCTCGGCTTTGTCCACATCTCGTTTTTTCGCCGAACTCAGCGGGATGCGATGGAGCTACGTGAGAAAAATGAAGCTTAGCTCAAGGAAAAATAAGAATGTGACATTTCGAGAGGGGGGAGAAAGAGAACCAGAGATTTCAGAGCTATTATGAAGCGCGGCGCCGACGTGTGTCGTCCATCATCCGGCGGACGACGGAACGTCTGCAAACAGCTTGAACTTTCTCACTCGCCCCCAACGCGGAAAGCAAGAGTTCATTTCGAGTCAAACCACGAAGGAGACATCATTCGTCGCTTTTTCGCGAAGATAACTTCGTCTTCGTCAACAATCCCCATCCACTAATACAGCATTGTACTGCATGCATGTGCTTCTAAGGCACTTTCTCAACCTTTTTGACCCAAGGAGCCATTCTTTCAATCAATTTATTCTAGGGAGTCCGTGTTAAAACCAAATTCCGTGGTATAGGAATCCCACGCGGCCGACATAATCGCATCCCCACGGCATTCGTATATTATAGAACTGTTGGACTTCAACATTTCTCCAGATTTTCGCTGTCTCTGTGGGATATGTGCAAAAAGTCAGTGCAATGTTTTCTTTCAATACCCTCCCTGGAAATCCTGCGATATATCATTAAAAGATGTGTCAAATGTTTACGGCAACAAGGACGAACAGAATACGAAGGCTTATTCCACGCGCCGTCGGGGAAAAAAGTACCGTGTAACCGAAATTGTTTTCCGCTGTTTCTACCATGCTTTAATGAACAATAATTTTCATCACCTGCAATATCTTATAACATTACTGCACAAAATGTGTGTCATTCTTAATCCCTTCAATGCTAGAGCTAGCAGGAATTTCTAGAATAAAATACCCCAGGCATGTGCGGAGAAGAAAATAAATCCATAGACGATTGAATTTTCTTTTCCGGTCTGCGTGGTATTCGCGAAATTTTGCGGAAGCCCTACTCTTATAAAGTACATTGTATTGATTATTGATATCAACGTTTCTTTTCTTCGATCTGATCACCTGAAAATTCTCATAAGTCCAAGTTTGCTGTTGAATACACCATTGAATAACAGAAACCATGCACCCAAAAATCTAGAGCCTGCTTCAACTTAATTAACAAACTTCAATTAGACGATTCTCTGCTTTCGAAGCATGGATTCATCCACCTCAACTGCTAGCTAGTAAAAGCCGAAAACAAGATCGTCTGTTTGTCCGTGTTGGTGGCCTACTGACAGAGATTTCAGCGTTGTAAACATAAATCCTCACGAAGCCGTTATTTACAAAGTGATGCCTTGTAAGGATCATTATAATGTTAATAGTATCCATAAATTAACCCTTTTCCCTGTCAAACGCGTTTTGGGATTGCTTCGAACGTGAGACTGGTTTTTCCTATGCAACTTTTCGAAAGCGGTGCTCTAATTTATTGGCCCGGAGCTGACTCGGATTTTCTTCGTGGCCCAGATTTCCTTCTTGGGATTTTTGATGGATCTTCGGAGCTAGTGTGTGACGTCTTATAGGCATACCTTGTTCTCGCGAGATAATGACATCGAAGACGCTCTTCGTCGGTGGTTCCATATAAATTTCATGATTATTTGGAAAATTAATTTGCCTGTGATCCCTTGACGACGTCGTGGTTTTAGATCTTCGATGAATTTCTTGTCAGATTTAGTTTCACATCGAAGCAGAGACTGTCCCGAATTTATATCGGATTCAGTTTCTGTCCTGAGATAAGAATTATAAGATTTAAATACGATACCACATGATGTACAACGAAATTATAAATTACCATCGATTAAATACGTGCAAAATCTAGGGATTTTGAGGCTTTATTTCAGTCTGTTCTAAAGTCTTGAAGGATGGAAAATGTAATAAATGGTTGCATAGCTAATTTATTTTTTCATGAGGAGTTGTTTATTGGCTTTAAAAAAACGCACGAAATATTCCCGGAGAATTTCAACTGGAAACTGGGCGGTAAACATCTGAGATAAGGTGACACTGTCCTGGGAAATTTCCCAGAGAAGGAGAAGCGGAAATGAGAACGGGAACTCGGTGCTAGGATTTCGTCTTTCGGATTGAGCCCTGAGTACTTTGAGTACACAGGCAACGTTTTCTAATCTCCTCGTGATCCGAAACTCGAGGATTTGTGTTGAGCCTGGGCCCACCTGAGTCCATTGAGGGAGATGAATTGTGATCAAGTTGTGCACATTCTTCCGGCGGAAGTGTAAGGCCATGGAGTGATAGCTTGTTTACTTTTGCGGAGTTCGGTAACGATGACCAAGCGCTTTGATGCCAAGCGATTCAATGCACGCCTGCTGATGAAACCGTGTGAATTTCCCGATGTCCTCATTTTTGAAATATTTGCATAAACCGTACATTCGAAAAGCGAGAACATCTCGGCGTTATTTTCATGCAAATTCTCCACTACGTGGTTTCGGTTATTAAAAGGTAGGACAAGATTTGAAACGCGAGCCTTCGATTCGCCTTTAATGAAGGACAATTTTTTCGAAACACCATGGCCATAAAATAAATGCAGTACAGTATACAGTACCACCATATTAGGATAAAGTCATTACTCAGTTTGAATTTTTGGCACACTCTCAGCCAGTTGCCAAACACTAAACCATTGAATGCCCGATAGTGCGAAAAATTTCCTATTATTAGCATTTATTCAAACAAAATTGAAATCCCTTTGCTGTACGTGATTAAAGATCCAATGTCCAGCACCAAGCACATCTTACGCGTCAATTTCCTAACTGCGGCATTTTCGTATTTTATGATTGCTGGGGTTCACTATTCATTCTAATTGCTGCATGTGTAAGATGTAAGATGTTGACAGTGATTTCAATTTGTATTCTACCTCAGTTTAAAATATAGCACTCCATTTGCAATATTATCAATCGACCGAAAAAAGGAGGCATGTTTTATTCACCAAGGCCCGTTTTCCAGCTGAATACTTCTGCGTTGTACAGGGTTAGAGCTATCTTTGATCAGCATTATTTATCTCCGCAAATTTTCTACTATCGCCTAGAAAAAATAGAATTTAAGATTTTGCAATTCTCTTTTTAATAATAGTTTCATAGAATCAGTATGACCAACACAGACGCATGAAAAAATTGAAAACAGAAATTTGTCACGTGCTCATTTAGCATAGCAAAGTCCTAGTGTCAATAAATGATCCAAATGCAGGCGGCCCAGAGAAACTGCGCATTTTACTTGAACTAATAAAAGTAATATTTCAGGCTTTTCCGAGAATTTATGCCCCCATCTTTATTTTATCGTTATGATGTTGAGGACCGGAAAAAAATACCGGAGCATCAGAATGTATGTTCCACATCTGCGTGCTTTACAAGGAAAGAATTGCATTAAACTTGTATCTTAATTCTCCCCTTTAAGGACTGAATCGTCCGAGAAGATTTTTTCTTTCAGCGTGATAGCTGGAAGAGTTTTTATTTCGCTGTTTGAAAATCGATGAGCTTTTTTTTTCGTCCAACACGTTGAATGAATCAATTACCAAACTTTTATGAACAGTACTGTAAAAATTTTATTATTACTCGTGAAGCCGAAAAGCTGGGTGAGGTTTCCTATCAAGACACTTTTATCAAGATCTATAATAAAAACGCGTACCTCACAGTTGGAAATATTTTGAATCAACGCCCATCACTGCAGTACAGAACTTGTGATTGAAAAAAAAAAAGCTAGAGCAATGAAATAGACGCGTAAAAATTAGCTTCACATTTCAAATTCAATTCATTTTCCAGGACAACGTTGAAGCAGTCGAAAATATTTATAGATCGTTCCACTTTCCTGTGAACGAACTCGATCTTTTCTTTTAAGCTCAATCGGAAAACCGCGCTCAAATTGAACTTTCAGAAACTGCGCGACTCATTGGCTTCATTGCAGAATCGTAAACAATGCTGACACCTCGGATAATGGACCACCCTCATGACAGATTCTTCGAATAACGGGCCCTCTTTTAGATCATAGACGGGTTGGAAAGTTATTGCTGAAAAAAATCGAAGTTTGAGGGGAAATGGGACTACCAGCATGATTTTTCAAGTGAATGAATACTGCTTTTGGCATTGCTGTTGCATTGTTTCTGTAGTTACAATTTAATATTTTTGTTACCAACGATTCATTTAGTTCTTTGTACCGTATAATCAGTCAAAGAGGAATGGATTCGACATTTAATATAGCTTCGGGCCACACGTATGCGGGACCTTCGGGTAGAGAATACATTTTTCATTTGGCTTCGCCTTACATACTGTTCTGTTACGGTAGACTTCCGAGATTCCTACTGGAACTCATCAAGCCCATTGCCCGAGGCACCACGAAACTGCATTACCCTGCTAAAATTTTTCGAGGTTTGAAAAAAGCCGTTCGTGCGAAAGAGGGTCGAAATAGAAAATACGCGACTGTGTGCCGCGTGTTGGTCATCTATATCGCAGGGGACTGAATAAGTTGATCTCTTGCTGAGAAAACGACGGGACTCGAGTCTCGTTTGAAATTCTGCTCATGACTGCGAGACATTCTATTTTCCGGTGCTTACATTGAAATGCAAAGTTTCGCCCAGCACGAGAGTTGCGCGAGATAGACCTATCAATGTGAGACGAACGCGTTTTCGCAGGAGGTTCAGACCGGAGACCGGCAGCAAACGATTTACCCACACATCGGACTCGAGAAGAATTTACAGCGTGAGGCGTCAGTCTGAAAGAGCCTTTTCTGAATTATTCCTCCACCGGAATTAAGTCCGGCGCATTGAGTTGTTGCCGGAGATTTTCTGAGGATGAATAGCACCCGCCGGTGGAGTCGTGGGCGGTTTTGCCGGTGTCGCTGCGCCGGCGAAAACCCAAAATAAATTCCTTTTTCCCTCTCTTTCTCTCTCTAGTGTCGCATTGGATGGGCTGGCGATGGGAAAACTTGTGGCCCAGACACAGACTTGGACGGTTGGCCGGATTTCGACCTCGGATGTCCGGACAGGAGGTGTCGGAAGGCGAGTAAAAGCCCCATTCAATTCCGCTGCTGGGGCGTTCTCGAGAATGACGGGTTTTCTTCTTCACTCTTTATCTTCTAATGCAGGACAATTGTGTGTACACCCCAAACTCGGGACAGGAAGACGCCGACAAGGATGGCCTTGGGGACGCTTGCGATAATGACGCCGATAATGATTTCATCCCAAATACTCCAGTGAGCATTGATTTTTTAATCATTTCCTATAGAAGAAACTCTGACAAAAATTTGGAAGAATGTTCCAACCAAGCAACCCGGTGTGGTCGTCCCATCTTGAATCCCTTCTTCGTCTTCACTACTTCACCCCTTGATTAACTCGGAAGCAGGATTACAATTCTGTCAATCAAATGCACTGGATGAACAAATCAAGTTCAATTGTCGTCTTTCAATAACTTAAAAAGCACTCTTCTTGACTCAAATCATTCCTGCGAAGCTCATGCAAAAATTGTAGCACACGTGCACAAAACATTGAATTTTTCAAGGAAGAATAACGTTATACCGACTTATTTTCGTCCTGAAAATGTATCGACCGTCCATTGCTCTCATCAGTCGATCCAAAAATTAATTGGTTATTTTTTAGAGCTTTTTTCCGTAGAATTACCAAGTTTCCTCCATCTCTACGGCGAATACTTCGTAGACATTTTATTTTTAACTCAATAATGTCATTTTTCCTCCGATTTCTGAACAAAATCGTGGTCAATATAGATTCACAGTCGCTTGCTGCCTATGCTAGTATGAATAAAATGAGGCCAACAATTGATCTTCGCAAACTTCCACGCGAAGATATCCTGATTCGCCGAAGTTTAAACTTCACATTCGCGCTTCAATTGAAATCGAGAATCAGACATAGTGTTACACAGGAACTCATGCCTTTTTTGGCCAGAAACAAAAATTCACATGAGGTCTCTTAAGAACGTTTACCGGTTAAAAATTGAATATAAAAATCCATCCATGGAATATTCAATTGATTCTAATGGACAAGCGCTACAATCTTTCTTTGAGAAGTGTGTCCATGACGCCGGATATGGCCCAAACCTGCGATATTACAATTGTTTTTCCATTAGATTTGAAATTAGACCTACTGTGCTCCCCTTCAAACAAATCAAAATTATATTTTTATTCCTTTGAAAATAAAATTGTGCTTCGTCCTCATCAGGACTCGACCATACACGACAAATATGTCATACACCCCACTGTTTTGTAAATTATTTTAGAAAAATAGACAGGTTCTTCCCCTGTGCATGAGTCGCATTTTTGCCTCGAGGCGAAAACTTTCCCTAAAATCACTACCTGGAATAATTATGGAACCGATAATCGCAGACATGAAGTGCGGTACAGTATTTTCTTTATGAAAGGGGCTTGTAGAAAACAAATTCGACCGATTCGTGCCTCAGCAACTTCAAAGCTCAGAAAATGTTCTCGTAAGCATCTATTCGAAAAATCATGATATGAAGAGCGACGTGATTTTTTCTTCTGAAACGACACGGGGTACTTTACGTGGGGCAAAATTTTTCAAGACGTGCAGGGAAATTGATCGCGTTTTGCATGAATAAGGACAATTGCCCTCTGGTGGCGAATCCGGAGCAAGAGGACACGGAACAGCAGGGAACCGGAGACCGGATGGGAGATGCGTGTGACAACTGCCCGATGGTGCCGAACATAGATCAAGAGGACACCGACAAGGACGGGATCGGTGATGCCTGCGACCCGGACATCGATAACGATGGTGATTAACATTCCACACGAATTCACTTTCGCCGATTTCCTTCTCTTGAACGGAACTCCTCAGAATTTATTCGCGCAGGCCGATGCTCCCTTCCGCAGCCAAAAAAATCGAATATTCATGAATAATGCGGAACTCAAGCAATTATTCGCAGTGAAGAAAATAAATTGCGAATAGAAGATGTATGGATCGCACATATTTTGGAAATTGAAAAGGTGTTCCCTCTCTGCGTTTATACGATCAGGAGTTCAGTCCGACGTTTTCCGATTGCTTTCCGTAAAATTGAAGAAGCTTCATCTGCCTAATATGTAATATCATTTAGTGATACCCAGGCCTCAATCAAAAGCTGCTGTCTAGATAGATTATCAAACGATTAATTTAAAAACATGCAAGGTGGCCCAAAATGTTGAATTAGACTGCAATACAGAAGCCATAAATGTCGAAAAGCTGATTATATATGGGCTCGGAAAGAAGTTCAGTACAGTTAATTCATAGATTTTACCGTTCATCGCATTTTGGTTGCTATGATCACTTTAAAAAAATGTTCCATTCGAAAAATGCGCTACGATTGCTAGGATATAATTTTTAATAGATGCATTATGGATGGTGAAATTAAAGCCAAACTGAAGGTTGAAGACAGGTTTACAGTTCAAGTTGGAAATTCGACTTCCCTATTCAGACTTTGCTTTGCAATTTTTTTCCAATATTGCAAGTTATATAGAAACGATGTCTTTTAGAAACTGTACGAGTACAGTATCTCTTTATAGAAACACTATTTCCCCGATCCAATTAGGGCTGTCGCTTATACTTTTTTTAGAAAATTTGCATTGCGGTGTCCATCTTTCTTCCCCAACATGCTTCAAATTCTAACCGACGACCATTTGAGAATTTGGGTCATTGTCTGAAGCGGGGTCACTACCAAAAACGAATCTCTCCAAAAGCCCAAAGAGACTGTGATGTCGTTAGGCCGCTATGCGAGATGACCGTTAACAGGGATACCCTTGTGTTCTCGTATGTCACAGGTATTCCGAATGAAGTGGACAACTGCGTCAAAGTGCCGAATTCAGATCAGCTGGACTCGGATCGGGATGGGCTCGGGGACAAGTGCGACAACTGCCCCTTGGTCGTCAATCTCGACCAAATTGACATCGACAAAGATTTAGTCGGTGACGCTTGCGACGATAACATCGATTCCGACCGGTCAGTAATTACAACCACGAGGCACTAATTAGGCGGTGGGTCAATTAGCGCTTCTGTTTGGTCCGAACAGCGACGGAGTCCAAGACAGTATCGATAATTGCCCAGCGGTCGCAAATGCGGACCAACACGACGCAGACGCCGATGGCCTTGGTGACATTTGTGATACCGACGCCGACAATGACGGTATAGAAAATGCAGAGGATAACTGTTACCTCGTGCCGAATCCGGACCAAGCTGACATCGACGGTAAAACGAATAAAAAACTTGTGAACACCTTTCTTCCGAGGATCCCTGAGCAAATGTTTCTACAGGAAATCGTAGAATTTTCAATCAAAACGTAAAAGGAATCAAGCATATAGACGTAATATAGAGCAGTGTTCGCCAACTCGTGGTCCGCGGACCGGCACCTGTCCGCAGAAGTTTCTTGGCGGTCCACGGGAAATTTTCTTCAAGATGATAAATTCATCGAAATTAGAAATTGATTCGGTCATATTTAACTGAAATTTCGGCAATACAAAGGCAGTTAAAATTATCTGATGAAAAAATGAAAGTTGGCTTTTCTCCTAATAACCTTTCAGACAAATTTTAACAAGCTGGAATTAATTATACTTTATTAATTTTGCATTCTGAAAAACCTTTATTCAAGCCTACCTTTCCACTTTTTTAGAATATTCCACTGTAGCTGCTTCATTGGTTCTTGAATTGATTTTTGAAAAAAGCAGGAACTTTTAAAATTTCTGCTGTAAAATCTTTAAAAAAAATTCCATGAGTCTGCAAAAATTTTATGAAACTTCGCCGGTCCGCGGGAAATTTTTTCGGGAATTTGCTGGTCCGCGAAAAATGTCATGGAAACTTCCTGGTCAGTGGGCCCAAAAAGGTCGGGGAACACTGACGAGGTTATCCAAAGCGTTACCCCGGGTATTATAAATTTGCAGTGACATTTAAAGTTTTTCTGCGGCATTTCGGACACAGGACCAATATAATATATTTCCCCCATCTCTACGTTTTGACTTCTGGGAATATTCCCAGCATTTGATGTCAAAAAAATGCAAAATAAACCTACGCTGACATTTATTTTAATGGTAACTTTATACCACAAACCATAGCACAATAATTTTTAACGTCGAATACAAGTTGATCACATGAAATAAACAACGTATAATCTGCGGGAGAAAATGAGCGAATATCGCACATGGCATTTTTCTTCTTCTTAGGTCAATAGGTTAATGCACCGGATAGGAGTATTCTTGTACACTAGTAAATTAATGACTTTAGTGCGGAAGCTTTTGACCATTGTTGGGAGCTCTGGATGTACTCCCGATTCTATCCCATATAGAGATATCTGCGGCTGCTCCAGCAAACCTAATCCAGAAAAGTTTCATCTAATTTGATCGTAAAATATAGTCCCGCGAAGAACAGACTGAAGTTTCTGAAATATAAGAACTCGAGATAAAAACCGTGGAGACGGAAAATTACAACTCTTTGGAGTTGAAAAATTTACGGAGTAAATTATAATTGGCCAAATTATCTCGTCCGCCAAAATAAATGCAACATAAAAGGAGCTCATACGCCAGAGAGGTCGAGAAATTCAGATTCAGCGACTTTTCGATACATTAGAATATTTACCCTCCGAGAAAATCAAACGACCAAAACGATAACCGTTTCCCGCCATCAATTATCTACGGTTAACAACTTCAATATAAAATTCGCATTTCATCGACAGGAAACGGAATTGGGGATGAGTGCCAGGATGATTTTGATAAAGATGCCGTCCCGGATTTCATCGACAATTGCCCGAACAACTCGAAGATTTACGCGACGGATTTCCGGTAATGTTCCATCATTTTCCATTCGCAACATAAGCACGCCTCCGATTATCTGAGCTAATGACAAAATAAAGTATGTGATTTTGTTCGATTACTCAAAAATACACACTTCGTGTAACTTTGAACGTATTCAAAATGGGAAGAAAATTCACTACGCGGACGCCTTGAAAAAAGTTTTACTAACATTTCCGCAAATCGCGATGTGCAGCACTAGCCCAACGTGATTGATCATCGATATTTGGGTATGGTTAATCGAAGCCCAGATAATCGAAGTTTTGAAGAACCATGTAACGAAAACTCGATAGAGAACTTCAATAAATACTTTACTCCACAGGACATATCAAACTGTGGTGCTCGACCCCGAGGGTGACTCGCAGATTGATCCTAATTGGGTTATTTACAATCAAGGAGCTGAGATAGTACAGACGATGAACTCCGATCCTGGACTAGCCGTTGGTAAGTGATAAATTTATTGGTCGTGAAATAAGACGGCGACAAATAGGTCATTCGAGCGGTGTAACGACGATTGATGAGTTCGATTGAAGAGACGCATCAGCGGTGATAATGTGACACAGAAAACCTTTCTGTAACAAGTTTCCGAGGAATTTTGTTCCTGAACATATATTAGTCTACAAATTAAACTTACGGGAAAATTATTTTCGATTACAGGCTTCCATCGCTTTGGGGGAGTTGACTTCGAAGGAACATTTTTCGTGGACACCGAGATTGATGACGATTACGTTGGATTCATTTTCAGGTATCACATTTACGCAAGTGTCGCCCCATCTGTTTATTCGAAACTTGATGAATCAAAATACTATACTGTACTATATATGAATGCGTCAATAATGGAAACATTAATCCGTAATCGTTTCCCGAGTTTCATTAGTCCACGGACTTCAATTCGGAATTTAGTATTGTACTGCACTAATAAACCAGCGGAATGCCGCATTTTTCATGATACATTCTTCCCAACAGCTACCAGGATAATTCTCATTTTTACTGCGTGATGTGGAAAAAGAACACGCAAACATATTGGCAAGCGACACCATTCCGAGCTGTAGCCGAGCCTGGAATTCAGCTGAAACTCGTTCAATCGATTACTGGACCAGGGCAAATGCTTAGGAATTCTTTATGGCACACAGGTGACACGGACAACCAGGTAATCCGAAAACATTTTCAGCTCTGACTTACGGACACCAGTGACCCGTTTGTCAATCAAAAGCAAATCTAACTTAGCTATACATACTTTCACTCGTTGCAGTGATAGCTTGAAGTGCTATACCATGTCTATACCTGAACCTATACCTATACCTGAACTTGAAAATACGTTACCTCGTAGAGGACTTTGGCGCGGCCGCAAATAATAGAATTCTTTACTTCATTGCACTGAACGATGAAGCTTCCAAAATATTACGGACATTCGACATGGATGCATATCTCTTAATCACTTGATGCATCATCCCAAATAATGAACTGATCGATCAATCGATCAGGGCAAACTAAAGAAACTGAAATTAAATACAGAGCAGGAGATCCTGTGACAGAATTCTATCCTATTAGATGATGGAATTCAGGCTTCTCCGTTTTCTCTCAATGCATCGAAGTTTGTGCATGGTTGAACAAAATTAGAGGGTTCGATTGAGACTGAACGTTTCATTTGACTCTACCCCCAAAAGATTACATAAGAGAAAATGTGACATTTGGCATTTCTATCCACCAAGGGTTTTATGGACCCCGCGCCCCTCCAAAAAAAAAGGGGGCCATTGACAGGGCCGCAAAAAAATCCTTTGATTCTTGGGCAGGCCGCTCATTTAAGACGGCTGCCGATTTTATCTCATCCAGCTAGCATTTCACAGTTTTCTGTCTGTGTTCTTCGTTTTTCGGGGACATCGTGATTTCTTTGGTGCCTGGAATTCAGCTGAAACTCGTTCAATCGATTACTGGACCAGGGCAAATGCTTAGGAATTCTTTATGGCACACAGGTGACACGGACAACCAGGTAATCCGAAAACATTTTCAGCTCTGACTTACGAACACCAGTGACCCGTTTGTCAATCAAAAGCAAATCTAACTTAGCTATACATACTTTCACTCGTTGCAGTGATAGCTTGAAGTGCTATACCATGTCTTTACCTGAACCTATACCTATACCTGAACTTGAAAATACGTTACCTCGTAGAGGACTTTTGCGCGGCAGCAAATAATAGAATTCTTTACTTAATTGCACTGAACGATGAAGCTTCCAAAATATTACGGACATTCGACATGGATGCATATCTCTTAATCACTTGATGCATCATCCCAAATAATGAACTGATCGATCAATCGATCAGGGCCAACTAAAGAAACTGAAATTAAATACAGAGCAGGAGATACTGTGACAGAATTCTATCCTATTAGATGATGGAATTCAGGCTTCTCCGTTTTCTCCGTTCGAATGCATCGAAGTTTGTGCATGGTTGAACAAAATTAGAGGGTTCGATTGAGACTGAACGTTTCATTTGACTCTACCCCCAAAAGATTACATAAGAGAAAATGTATACCTGACAATCACTCGACTCATACAAGTACTGTACAGTAGTTCGTTTGACTCGGAAATTCCAGCCTTCCTGCTCAAATCCCCAGCAGAGCAGTGATCATGCTCAATGGCTTTTACGTTTTCAACAGGTGAAGCTTCTATGGAAAGATCCCCGAAACGTCGGATGGAAAGAAAAAGTTGCGTATCGCTGGCTTCTGTTGCATCGACCGAAAATCGGCTTGATCCGTTTGAGAATTTTCGAAGGCGAGAACATGGTAGCTGATTCCGGGAACATATTCGATTCTACCTTAAAAGGAGGTCGCCTTGGAGTATTCTGCTTTTCGCAGGAGATGATCATTTGGTCTGATCTCGTCTATCGCTGCAACGGTTAGTTCACGCAGTCTTCCTGCTGTACGCAGGTCATCAATGAGTTCAACATTTTCCGAAGCGCATGTTCGCTGCGCGTGCTAATCAACGAATTAGTCGATAATTCCACTAGTGAGATCGCGGATACTTTTTTCTCAATTTAGCCCACTTTCATATACGGGAGCGTCAGAAGTGCTAGCATAACAGCATGATTTAAAATTTCATCAATACAGCGTTTGATGCTTGTGAAGTCCAAGACAGCAGTGGTTCGGAATTAATCCAAAATGTTGGCCATCCCCAAAACAGATCATGTTCCAGAAGGAATATATCGGTCACTGCCACCTCGTCTTCGTTCAGAGGTCTACATCGATCGCAGCAAGCCACCGCAGCCTACTACCTGATTTGAGGTACACCGCAGAAATGAGGAGTGAAAGCGGATCAATGTGATTCGGGAACCAATTTATCAAGACCATAACACTGCCAATTAAATTATCTCACCTGATTCATATCGCTCTAGCGTAGAAGTGAATGTGTGCATGTGTTCGAAAACGTTTAGTATTTTTCAACCTAATTTCTGCTACGAACGCGGAGAATAACGCTGACCTTGTGGAATAGAAAATTCTGATCGGGAAATCGGACTTGAATTTTTTTCGTGGACGCTTTATCGCGTTTTTCGTCATCGATGCGACCTAGGACATCCGAAACTGGGGACAGTCCTGACCAAAATAGTCCGCCATCATCCAACCCCGAGGGATGATTTCTCTAAGAACGGTATCACAACCTGTATCAAATTTTCGCATGGACACGAAAATATTCATTTACGCGGGAAATCTGATTCTATGAAAAGAGTATGGCAGATATGATACGCTTTTATCATCAATATATTTCTATTAAAACCCTTCCATCAGAAATTCACTTTCCGCACACGATCAGTTTGACAAAAACATTCAATCCAGTTCAACGTGATTGGTCTCGAACGGAAGATTATAAAAAGCTTCAACCTATAGGACATGCGTCGTATTCGTTACACTCAACATATTCAAGCACTCGTATTTATCTTAAACATATTGAAACGAGAGTAAAGATCGAAATCGGGGAATTATTTCCAAAGAATGCATAAAAATGCAAGGATACACAGGCATGAAGATGCGAGCACGATCAGATCAAACACGTATTTACACGAACGTTATATCAAAAGCGCGATCTCAGCAAACTGAAGCGATCGGAGACGAAGTTTGGAATGTAGCCTTGGTAAATTTGATGAACATAGACAAGACGCAACGATGAACATAAGAGCGAGGAAAATAGTCGGAAAGAATCGCGAAGAGAATCATTCAACCCTTAGTGCAACTGCCGCGTTCATCCTCGCCACATTGAGGTATGCCGTTCCCCACGAGAGTTCAGCGTCTCTCTGTCACCCTCTCTCGCTCTCCCTCAAGACCATCATCAAACTTTCGTACAATTGAAATTCGCAAACTGAAACTTAATTCAACGCCGATTTTAAACCAAAAATCCCCGGATCTCATTCGAATCACACTATTCCTATGCAAAACTCGGCAGCCTATCTAATACATCGCGCAACTGTGAACATGAATGACATCAAAGCTCGACACATATAACGTCAGGAAACCAAATGGATCAGTGTAATCAACAAAGCTAAAAAATTAAGTATGGACAGATTCAAAAAATACAGAAAAACGAGGACATTCACTGTGCTCTTAAAATGTAGAACAAAAACAAAACCGCTAACGTGAATGTGCCGATTAGATGCGATGTTCGTGGCGTTGCTTAGACCGGCAGTATCCGTGTTGCTACAAATTACGAAAGGGTTGATTGCGGTACTTCGACATCATAGTTTCAGCATCAGGTATGTCGAAGTAGGTGAAGAGATAGCTAACTAGCCATCTTCCTTAGGAGGAGTAAACCAACCTGCCAAAAACTTCAGCGTTGAAAACAGAAAAAAACATTTTTTCAATGCAATGCTCACCACTTTTTTCGTGGATCTGGGTAAGCGATACGAAGGACTGTTGGGCTCTAGCAAAACTGTAGTGACCCTAAAATGGTAACCCAACGGTTATCACCCATTGTAAACGCAAAATAAGAAAAAACTAACTTGTGAAGATCCTCCGAACTGGATTCGTGCCTTTCCCTTGACGAGGGTAGCTGCTATTTGCATTATGATCGCTTCCACCGTGTATGCTGAGCTCCAGCCCTGTTTGGTGAGCAGCTCCATGCAAATGGCACCACCGATAAGCACGTACCCCCCTCCGATTATTGGATGCACAACCCGGACAAACGGAGGATCAAACGGGTAAGAGTCCTAAACAAAGATAAAAATGAAATCAAATGCAACTCGCGACCACATTTTTCGACGTCCAATGCATAAATATGCATTATAATCATCAGCAATGCAATCGTACATCAGTATACAGTCTTATGGAGCTTTTCGACGGAGAAGAAAAATTACAGTAAGCCACCGAGTGAATTTCGATTCCTCACAAAAAGCCATGCAGCTCTTCGTGGAACTTTAGAGAAAGACACAAACTCACCTGAAAGTGAAACGAAAAGAGGATGTGGTCAATTCCCTCTTTTTCTTTGAGGATCACCAAATCTTGAGATAATTGCGAATCCGGGTCTACATGCCTCAGACGAACTTGCCATTCGTACAAATTGTCGTTCACTAGTTCAACTTCGTAAACACCTACAATGAAAAACCGGTTTCATACCGCTTACCAATAACATTTCCTTCAAGTTTTCATACCTTTTTTAAAGCTTTGGGAACGGTATATGTCCCTGAGTTCCTTCATGAGGCGATCTGAAGCCTGGACTGAATGATTCGGGGTTCCTTTGCTCAGCTCATTTTGCTGCGTAGCCTTCAATTGGTTTCATACCGCTTACCAATAACATTTCCTTCAAGTTTTCATACCTTTTTTAAAGCTTTGGGAACGGTATATGTCCCTGAGAAGGAAGTACTCCGCTAGACTTCGGACCTGACTTACTAAGCCCCAAGGAAACGAGTCGAGTAAAACGACGCATCGGAAGTTAGCGAGATCGCAGTAGTCCACGAGTCAAAGTTATGGGAGTAGGACCAAAAGAAAAAAAAGTTCAATTACTTCCGTAGAAATTAAAATAAATTCGCTCGAGTAAAGAAATCGACGTTTATGACAAGAACAAATATTTTAGTAGGTGGCAATAATGAAACTCAACGAACACTTCTTGAAAATCGAGCGATTAACATTTAACACCGAACTCCCTCATTATCACGCGCAGGAACACTTCGTTTGCACAAATAAAATTGGATGATCAAGGCGTTGAACATTAGCAGATCAAACAAGACGTTCAGAAAATGCATGGTGTGAAGCCTACGTGGATCGACACAGTTACATGCGTGAATAATTACCTTCGAAGAATTACTGACACTCGGATCCTCCATTTCAATATGGAAATCATCGTCCTCGAATTCCTCTCGATCGCCATCATCATCTTCAGCATCATCGTCATCATCCTCGTCAACGTCGTCGTTTTCCATCCCTTCGTCGTCGTCTTCCGCTCCTCCAGTGGCACTCGAACCACTTCGTGCCATCGCACGGCGCTTCGGACCAGTCGGTCCGCCGTTTGTTTGGCTACCACTGGAAGCCGATGAGGCAGATGAGAACGACGTCGAACTTGTCGATTCAGCCGCTCCAGAAAAGTCGAAAATGCCAGCTAATGGGAGAGTACTGGCCAAGGAATGATCGACTTTGATCGGTTCGATGTTGTACAATTCGCACAAGTCTTTGACGAGAATGCTCACTTGGTTCAGTAACTGGAATAAAATAAGATTACCATCAACGAATGCAACACGTCTCACAAATTTATCATTACAGCTAAAAAGATGTCATCACAATACAACTGAGAAAAAGACAATATTATATTACGTGATTATCTTTGCCATTCGTGTTGCTGAGTTTTTCGACGATGCTGGAAATGGCAGCATCATCCGTTTCGATGTACCATACAGGAGGGGATGACGGGTAAGTTTCCTACAAATCAACAAAAAAACGCGTTTAATTCAATTTCCAAGCTTTACACAACATTGGCAACGTACCAATATATTCGCATGAAGTTCATAACGTTTTCCGCATTTTGAGATGAAACGACATGTCACTTCATCCAAGCTTGCGGCAATAACCTGGAAGCGATCGTGAGATTGTGGGAATAGGGCCTCAAGCGTTCGAATCTCTTGTTTGAGAACGTGGAGACAAGCCATGACATCACCGCAGCGCCGCTGCAGTAATGTGGATTGCTACGATTTCACCAGCAAATCTTCGGATAGTTCAAGAATAGTCCCTGAAACACGAAAATCAGTCATAATCCGTCGGAAGTCAATAATAACACAAGAGAATTAGAGAAGTTCGTTTTTGAACCACGATGCTTTCAATAGAACCGCTGACGGAATCGAGAACTCCACAGACAGCTACACAAATGCAATAAAATTATTTCCAACTGAGAGCAAAGGAATTCCGACTTCGGACTCAAGACAATGGAAGTCCTGCATAAGCGGATTTCCCCTCTTTCTGATTCCGCCGTTACCTCGAATTATTCGAACGAACGGCAACACTGATCACACAAGTACCGGCAGTGCAAAAATCGAATTTTTCACGCGATCCGAAGTCGCAGTATCTAAGATACCAAGAACCTTCCCACCCAACGACACGACATTCAGCGGTCACAGCTGTGAACGAGAATTCAGCGCGCAGGAGGACTCCACTGTTGAACCCTCGTAGACTGCTTGTTGCCGAGCGAAGATCGTATGGGCGGCAGACATGTTGGCACTACTTCGAAGTTGCTTCTGTTATGAAAAGAGCGAACATGGCGCTAAAATCAGCTGCTCGCCAGAAAGAAAGGAAAGGTCAGGCTGTTAAAATGCGCGGCCACAGTAACGCGGTATACAGAAGGAGATGACGCGCGAACAGCCATATACATACCGGAATTAAGGGAGTACTGTACAGTAATCTGTGGTATACCGCATAACCATTATTCTTCCAAATTTTATTTTCTGTCGGTCACCGCATCGATTAAAATTAACTAAACTACTGTATTATATGATCATCATCGATGCTACAAGTAACAGATGTAAAATAAGTGTTTGTGCAATATGGAAAATTAAGACTGCTGCGCAATCGATGCAATAAATGAATATAATACTATGGTTGTATGTACTGAACAGTTTGTATTTTAAATTTGCAGCACTTATTCTTGCTGGAAATAGCTCCTTTCATCTTCATCCAAGCACTCACATATTGATGGAATATATGTACTTGTAATACTGTATATACTTTATACATATACTGTATATTTTCCTCATATTTGATGACCATCAATTTACATCTTTTGCTGGAATACACTGCAATATATATATATATATATACTATATATATATATGTATATATATGTGTGTGTGTGAGTGGGGTGTGTTTATAACAGCAAAAAATGTAATGTATGATGAGTCCTCACAGAAAACTTGAAATAACTTTTTCATGGAGATCATATACAGTTATGTATACTGTATATGTAGCATAATGATTTATAGAACTCTACCTGCTGTATACTGTTAGTTAATGAACTTACCAATATGGTCAATATTACAAAAGTTTGTTAACAAAATTAGATTGTCCCATAGACTTGAACAAATCGAAAAATATTAATCCATTCATGGCACCCAAAAGACAATGAAAAATGTACTAAAAGAAAACTCTGGACCATCAAATAATCAAAATGAGTTACTGCAATGAGTGTGTTTGAAGGTTGGATGGAATTTGTATCACCAAAGAAAAAAACTCAAAAAGCTTCACATCCGCCAGAGAAAAACGAACAAACATTAGGATAAATAATGGATAATCACAAAAATTGAATGTTGCTCACATTTCAAGTGAAAGAACTTGAATTGATTAATTTCTATTTTTCTGAGTTATTCATTCACCAATGCAAGTAAAAAGATAGAGAAAATACCTGCAATTTGCTCTTAATAAGAAGCTTTGTATATTTTGCTTGGTTTACACATTGAACAAGTTTCACTAAAATCAAAAAAGCAAGCTGATTCAGAAGATTTCTGAGCTTTTAAAAAGTATTCCTCTCTGAATTGCTTTTCATAATAACATATTGGAATGAACAACATGAATTCGTGTGAGCGGTATAATGTTCACGAAATGTTAGATTGTAAAAAAAAAATGGCAGACGCTTTGCATGAGAATACAGTGATACTGCCCCTTAATTGTATGACACAGCAGCACCCCTACGTAAATAATTTAACCAAAATTTTGAAATTTTGAATTGTCTCATGAATTGGTGTCAACCAAATAGAGCCTTACCTGTATCAATCATTACCTATAATTTGGTGTATAATCAAATAATAAGTATAAATATACATAGTACAGTATACCTACACAATATATATAAACAGTATCAATATGCATATAGGCACATCACTATATCATACGAGTTTGACCCTTTGTTGGCCTTGATCAGTTTTATAAGTACTGTGGTAATTATTTTTTGGCACTGCACGAGAAACTCGCTAGACAAGAAAAATGAACTAGCAGCATGCACACTATGCGCTCTTACGTGAATCTGTCACGCATTTCATAGGTATACAGAGTGCATGCTTCATTGAATAGTTTCGTTATCATCATATAGAATTTGATGTTATTGTTTCACGTATCACAAAGTTTCTGCTGAAATTATCAGTTGGGCTAACTTCTTGTAAATACATTCATCGAATGAATGTTATTATATATGTGTTGGGCCGATTTAACGACACATAATTAAGACCGAATAAATGAACACAGTATGCAGCCTTTAACGGCCAGATCCTCCTAAAGGGAGTCCCTTAGAATAGCACACCTTTAATCAACCCACAGGGAACCACAGAAGGAAAAGACAAGACTTTTGCACACTTCGAGAAATGGCAATCAGACAGAACAGAGCTCTCAACACAATAACCACTGTCAGGCAACCAACAATCTAATGATTCTCCTGTAACTTCTCCGGGGCTTCCGCTGCCCTGTGATCATTATCTCCTCATCACCCGGTTTACCACAATGCAGCAAACCGGGTCCCTATCCGCTCCAGGGTCCCTTGGGTGAGGTGTTCTGTGTGGCGTGCCCAAGCAAGGATGCTGCGCTTGGGTCACGCAACATGGACGCAACCCCACAAAATCCCCCCCCTTTGGGTGACGACGGCCGGTTGGCTGGAGACGTCCAAAGGACCCAGAATGGGGGTTGCGTAGATGTTGCTTGTTGTTGGGGGCCGGGAGGTGTGCGGTTGCGGTGGCACTGGAGGATGCAGAGCATCCTTGACTGGGCAAGGGTTGCCAAGATTGTGGCGTGCAGGCGCACCAGGACGTCCTAGGAAACAAAGGATAAATTTGTTACTTGTCTCCCAGATTCTGCCCAGGGCAGAAGTCCCAAATTTTGTTTAGAAAAGGTTTCCTGTCAAAGTCAGTGCGTCAAAAAAGTGGAAAGTGTTTGAATTTTTTGCCACGCAAGCGCTTGTCCTTTTGGTGGTTTCCACGCCAGGTGCGGCGTTACTTCTCAGCTGGCCTGGTGTTGCCGGTTGATGATTGTGGCTGGCAGTCTGGTCCAGCTGCATGCGCATGGTAGGTGGGGGCCCCCTGGGGATAGAAAGCTCAATGACGTGCCATGGGCTTACCGTTGCTTGCTACCACTGCAGCCTTCAGGGTGCCTGTTGCCATTCTGCAAATGCGCAGACAGCTGTCTCATGGAGGCTGGCACCCGGTCATGCATGCGCATCCTCTGGAGCTCTGCAAGCCGCTGAGAGGGTCCCAGAGGTCTGCTGCTGCTGCCTGAGGAGGTCTGATAGTTACTCGTGTAAATGCCGTCACTCGCAGAGCTGTTTGGTGTGTGCTGCGCCGGCACAAAGCAATCTTGGCATTTCTTGTCCAGGTTTTTGGAAGCGGAGTGCTGAGTTGACTGTGTCTTGGGTTTCCTTCCAGATCTCAGGGCAACTCAAGTACCATGGAAAACTGGAAAGAAAGAGCAAACACCGCAAAAAAGTAGACAAAAAAGAGAAAAGGATTCAAAGAAATCGTTCGCGTAGCACCGCGCTCATCCGCCCTCAATCAAGGATTGCCGCAGCCACAACAAAAAGAAACAAAGAGCATAGACTTTGACAGGACTCAACATGGACGGTGGATGAAAACAAGAGCACAGCAGGGATACACCAAAACAACGTGCGTCAGAAGAGGACGTGTTCAAAAATGGCATTTCTGGTAAGTCACCCTGCCTTGTATGGTTGGTCAAATTGTTGCTTGAGTGCTGTTGCATTGTGCATCACAGATGGTGAAGATGGAACGCCGCCAAGTACTTGTAATTGCCAAGGCTGTTCCGGCCAAAGCTGCGCCTGCTGAGGCAGCAGCAGTTATGGTGGAGTTACCTGCAGAGGCCAGAGCGGAGGCACTGCCATGTGTGCGGCTGCCAGCAGTGGTGGAGGAGAACGCTGCCATTTTTTAAGGACTGACAAGGGACAGTTGGCAGCACCTGGTGGCCCTGATGCCAATGGCTGCATCGGTGGATGCAGCAAGTGTCCAGCAGGCGTTTCCCATTGGAGGGCAGATCTTCCGGGAGGCAGAGGATATCATCATTCAACAGGAAGGTGAGTTTCCCCCCTGTGTTTGCCGCAGTGTCCTGCGTTTCATGCAGTGGTGTCTGGACAAAGGAGCACTGTGGATGGCGCGTGTTGCCACGACGCCAAGTGTCAAATTTGTTTGGGGTCCAGCCCTGGAGGTTGTGCTGGCTTGGTATGCTGGGACAAGACCCAAAGGAGCCCCACAGACTGCCGCCATTGAGGCAGCATCGGCTGCAATGGTGGCCAAGGCGCAAGTGGCAGAACTGCCAGCAGCATCATCACATCTGAGATTGACGCCGCGGCGGGAGCCATTGACGACCCAAATGGAGGAAGTGGCACTGCCGCCAAGAGCGCTGTCTCCAGAGGTGGCAGGATGTGGAGACAATCTGGACGTCAAGATGTTGGATGCCCCGCCTAGTAAGTCACTCACCGACAAATTGGCAGAGCCGAGATTGATGTTTTCCGGGATGGGTATAGTTACAGATGTACCTGAAGCAGAACTCTTCAAGGTGCTGACCGAGACCTGGCGGTTTGAGCCAGAAGATCCAGTCACATACGTTGCAAATGTCCAGCAGCATCAAGGAGCAACAGGAGACTGGTTGTGCTTCATGCACAGCTTTCAACTTCCCACACCAGGCTGTATGGTCTTGGATTATTGATTCCACTGCATCCAGCATTTGAGGATCACCCCGGTTCCCCTGGGATTCAGCAATGGTCATCAATGCGTGCTGGTCATTGGTGACTCCTTGCTTGCCATGGCTTGCATCACGCGCAAGAATTGCTGTTTCTTTGGTTGCGTCAGCTTGAGGTCAAACACTCCACAACCCATGTTTGACTACTCCTACTTGACAGAGGATCTTCCCTTCAAGGTGTTCCAGGTGAGTAACCTAAAAAGGCGGGTGTGTCAATGGGCTGTATCTGACAGCTGTGTGGTGTGGTCCTTCTCTTCTAGTGGAGCTTGAGCGGGCTCACCGTGCTCTGCGGATGGAACGCGCTTATGCCGGCGGATTTGCAGCAATGCATTTGGGGGGACCTGTGCCTGCCCAAAGACATGGAGTTTGTGGCCGTGCTTGTGAGAATTGGCACCAACGACATCAAGTTCCTGGTGTATTATTGAACAGGGCACAGGCCCTTCAAATTGTTTGTCG